ACCTATTTTGAGTTAGAGGAATACATTTGCATTTGTTTGCACGCTTTTGTGTTCAAATGAATTCACTGGGCCTAAGGGAAGAACCCTGAGGAGTCTGCGATATGGCATTTTTTTGGCTTGTGCTCACTCCACCAATGCAGCTGGCACAGCCCTGTGCCTCAGCTGCTTCCCCACTTTCACTGCTGTGCAGCACTGATCATCGTCAGTAGTTGCTACTTGGGAAGTTTGAGCTATCTTTCTTATCAAAACATTACACAAGCACACTGTGCTAGCGGTGAGGAAACGAGAGAGAGGGGAAGAATTCAGACTCTCTTCCAGTTAGTCATTAAGTAGACACTAGGCTTTCTGCTCTGGTAAGCATCTAATTTAGGCAAGATCCTAATATGCAGCCTTATTTCTGTAGGGTAGCAAAATTCATCTCTTTGCTAACCTGTAAGATTGGTGTTAACATGTTGAAACTGGCCACTACAGTAACGTGTCCTGTATGCATGATGTGTTGTTGCAGCTTTTTTCTGATGTACTTGGAAAACCACAAAAGCAGTGGGTTAGACTTCTTGAGGTCATAGGCCTGTTTAGGATAGATCTTTGCATAGGAAAGTAAGATTATTGGCAGAACATTAAGCAAAAAATAAAAAATAAAAATTACTGCCCATCACTGGAGTAAACAACATAACTAGGTGAGAGGTAGGCTGCAGAAGAGAGTTGGTTTTTTAAACTTTTTTTGGGGGGGAGGAGGGGGTGGGTGAGTTGGGAAATGAGCAGGGAAGAAATGTTCAATCCTTGATTTCTAATTCATTTTGGAGATGAAAGTATTGATATTTGCAGATCCAGTACAACTGCACTGTGGTATCTACATTCTTGCATGTTAGGTTGATATAGTGCTGTGTTATAGGCCTAGAGTGAATGAAGCAAATGAAGCACTGGTGAGGTCTGCAGGGAGCTGGGACTCGTGTTTCTTGTGTTGTGCACTACAGAAACAAAACCAGAGCACTCATCAGCCAGCAGCAACCAAGGGCAATGCTCACCACTATGTATAAAGAGAAACAAGAACTGAACGAACAGAAACGGAGCTTTTAATGAATGCTTCCAGGTCAGATCATAGCTTATAGAGGGCAGGGGTCATGCATGCTGAGGGAAGTGTGGAAATTACCTCCACAACTCTACATGAGCATAAGGACCACATCCCTGCATACAAATCCATACCAACGTGTTTTCTTTACAGTTAAGAGGATACAGTCGAATGAGAGATTTAGGCATAGGCTGACACATAGGTGCATGCCTAGAAACTTGTCACAGTGATAATGTTTTCTCTCTGTAAAATCTTACTTTGTTTTTTTTGGTTTTTGTTGTTTTGTGTTTTTTTTTTTTTGTTTTTGTTTTGTGGTTTTTTTTTTTTTTTGGCATCTCCTCCTAGCTCAGCCTGTGTTAGTTATAAGGCTTAGTTCTTTCTGCATTTCCCTTCAAACAGCATAAATTCTTGCATTTTTTGCAGGGAGAAAACTAGGAACGTTTCTGACATGTAGGCAGCCTCCCTTCTCCCTCTGTTCTTGCAAATATTTCTAACCATGAACAATCTTCACCCCACTGCTGTCTCCACTGCGCAGACACAATTGTTTTGTCCAAGGGATGTTCCCCCTTTGCTGAAGCCAGAGGCTTGGAAAGGGATTCCCCAGTGGAAGCCTTTGGAATCCTTCAGATTTCCCTATTTTGCTGATGACTCAACGGGTCCAGCACTGTGTGCAGGAGAGGACAGGGCTCTCCCTGTAGCATTCAGAACCGTATCCTGAATCCAGAGCAGTGTGTGGCTAGATGCACAGCATGCATGGGGAAACATCTCTCCTGACTGCATATGTGGGAGTTCAACACCCTAACTCTTCCCATTTTATGTTTTTGTGGAATCTTGTCCATGGATCAATCTCTGAATAAGAGCTTCAGCAGCCTCGGGCCTGGATTTAGAGCTTCTGACTCAAACGCTGAGTCTGTGGAAGTTGCATATTCTTTTGGCATCTGCTATTTATCAGCAAATCCCTGCCAGAGGTTGCATGGATTTGCTGCTCAGCTGGCAGAGCTGTTCGCATCCTGCTCTCTCATCCAGCTCAGGCTCGAAGCGCAGGTTAGCAAAGCCCGGACACGACAGGTATTCAAACAGGAGCCAGGCACGCTCCGGTCCCTGCATCGCAGCGCTGGAGGCCGGGCCCGACAGCTGCCTTCTGCGGGCCGCACCCCGGCCCGGCCGGGCGGAACCGTCCCGTCCCGGGGCTCCCCGCCGGGCTCGGCGCCCGGGGCGGCGGCAGGTGCGGGAGGAGTTTCCTTTCGGGGCATTGTGGGAAGGCGCGATGCGGCCGGGGCCTCACCTGGCGCGCCGCGGGCGGGCAGGGCGGGAGGCAGCCGGCAGCCAGCCGGGCCGGGCCGGCTTCAGCCCGCCGCCGCGGCACCATGGTAAGTGCGCGGCCTCCGCGGGGCTGCCCGCCTCCGGCCCGCTCTGCGGCGCGGGGAGGTCGGCAAGGTCTGCCGTCCGGCTGCGCCGTCCCGGCGTACTGGGCAGCGAGCAGGAGCGCAGAGCAGACCTCGGTCCCGGAGCAGAGAAAGTTGGGGTTGTGAGTATTGCTGCGAGAATGAATGGCCCCAGGTGCCCTTAAGCGGAGGTAACGTGTGTTCGTTAGCAGGTAGGGGGAGGGCTGTCCCAGCTCTAACGAGAAGCGGGAACGCAGCTTCCAGGAGAGCCCGGGCGAGGTCTGCACCTGTTCTGGGAAACGAGCGTTGCGTTTCTCCTTTTGTTTCCTCCCTTCTGGCCCGCGGGGTGAGCCTGGTCACGCTGACGGCCTTTCGTAGCTAAGCAGGAAAATAGGGCTGCTCCGCAGAGACTTGATTAAGTCTACCAGTAACCCGAGGAGCTGAGGTTCGAGTCAGCTCAGTGCCTGCAGGAATATCGGGTTTGGTTTCACGTGGGTTCTTGTGGTGGAGCCCAAGCAGTGGCTTTCCGGGGCGGCACGTGTGGAAGGGCCCTTTCCCTGCCGCCCTGGTTGTGCTGCGGGCCGCTTGGCTGCGTCCCCTGTAGGAGCTGACCGAGCCGCGGCGCTGCCGTGTGCCACGCGTGGATGAAGTTGTTTCGTCGGGCTCAGAAATAAGCACGGTGCCGGTATGTGCAGTTAGATGAGCCCTGATTTGGTGGGCTCTGAGATGAACTACAGCCGCTCAGATAGGGAGTAATTCACAGCAAAGCAATGAGGTGTAACGTGTCTGTTTAACAGAGAGCACGTGAGCCTGGTTCTGCTCCTTGCTGCGTGCCGGCAGCCACTACATTGCAGCACGGTGAGGAGTGGTGGCTGCTTGCGGTGGGCAGCCTTTGGATTATGGGCAGCCCCTTGGGCGTTCAGGCTGTTCGCAGAGGCTCTGGTGGTTGTTTGCTGGGATCGGGAGAGGTTGCTTGGTCATTATTCTCTTTTGTTAAACACGGTGGCCCGCATCCCTGGAATACATTCCCGGAATAATGGCTGGACTTTCCCAAGGAAACTGTGGGCTTTCGAGCAGCAAGATGCTCAGCAATGCCATGTAATTGAGAAACCATCTCTGGGTGATTATCAGACCTGGGGCAGCTCATGCCCAGAGCTCCTGTCGTGCACAGTTTGCCTGTTGTGTGTATCTTTGCTCTCAGTGATGGCAGTGTAGCTGCACCGTCATGGCGCTTTCGTCGCGGGCTGAATTTTGACGTGTGGCTCTATCCTCAGAAGTGGAGCTGAGTTGCTTTCTTTCCAGCGGTTTAGTCAGAATGCACCTCGTGTGTTAGTCTAATTTTGTGTCTAAGGAAAGATGTGCCTGCGTTCAAATTTGCATGTAAAATCTGTGCAGTAATGAGTTTACAGATGGCAATGCAGTCTCTATACCTCAAGTCCCAGTATATATACACACATATACGCAAGCTTTCCAGTTACCTCTTGACACAGCTCTCCATATCCATTTCCTGATGTAACGCTTATGTAAATAACCGGAGTTCGTACTGTGCCCTTGAAGGTCAGTAAATATGGGAGGTGATTTCGGGGAAGCTGATCGCGGACCTCTCCGTGGTGCGTGCACTAAACAAATGCCAGTTCTCAAAGCACTCACGATGATCCCAAGGGAGTGGTGCTCACAATGGTGCTACTTATTAGCAGGACTGTCTGCTGTTTGATGACTGTAATTTCGTAAAGTGAGCATGTATTCTTATTCCTTTGCTGAGCTCACAGTGCAAACACTTGCTGGCATTGTTACACCAAGCAGTGCTGTCAGCCTTATCCTGTTCTCCTGTTGTAGACCCAGTGCCCATGAAAGGGTGCTTTTGTCAAAGTACTCGTGCTTAAAATTCCTCTGCCTGTTCTCCGGGAAGGGTTGATGTGCTGGGTTGCTGTCAAGAATTAAGGATTATTGGGTTACAGGCTAAGAATAAACCTTATTCGGGCTGACAACTTGAAGAACTTTCAACAGGTCATTTAAAGGTCTCTTTAGATCGGTTTCTCCTGTTTAGAATTAGGTGGTTGTGCTTGCCACCAGTGTTAAATGCTTAGAGATTGGAATGGAAGGTACTCCTGCAAATGGTACTGTGTCCCAGCAAGAGGGTTGTTGCCATTGTTTGCTGTGCTGCAAATTTCCAGGCTGGTTTCAGGGGAGCCCTTTAGACAAGCTTCATGTCCTGCTGAGAATGGCTGTATTACTGCCCAGCTGCTACCTTGTGACTGCAGAACAAAGGATTTTCAGAAAAAAAGACTGCATTCTGTTCTCTGACAGGGTATGGCTGCAGCAGAGAAGGGTTGCGGTCTCAACAGATCAGAAAGTGAAAGCCAGGACTGGACAGAGAAAATAATTTCTTTCCCCAGGGACATGCGTTGCTGCAGTCTTTCATGCCTGTGAGTGTTGCAACACCACGATCCCACAGCCACCTCGCCATTATCAGTATTATCAAGTTTTCTATTTGCACAGTTCTGAGTGCAGAACTGGTGCCTGCAGAGTGAAAAGTCCTGCTTCCCTCCTGCCTCTGCTGCTCATCAGTACAGTGTGAAGCATCAGTACATGTTGGCATGACCTGTGACCTGAAGCCCTGGAGAATGATCAAAAGAAGCCCCTGGTGAGCAGAAGGCTCTGAAGACATACTTTGTGTGCTTGGAAGGGAGTTGGCAGGTGGTGTTTCCGTGTAGCAAGGCATATGATACTCATCACAGATCTAGAGGCTTGGCTGGAAATGTTGGTTGAGGTGAGTGCAGGTGGTGACTCCTGCCTGGTGTTTGTAAATGAACTCTCTGCTCTACTGAATAGAGACTTTCCCAACGTTCTCAGTGCCCTTAACTGCTAAAGTAAAAGCAGGTCTGTAAAAGATATTTTTAGTGTTGTGCAGAACTTACTGTCAATGATTCGGAGAAGAATGTGCTCTAAACCTTGCACGTTTTTCCCCCCTCAGTGGCATAGCTGTGTATCAGCCTAGCAGAGGCAGTGAACCTCACCTCTAGGAATTTAACTTGGAAGGATGTGAAGGGCAGCAGATAAAAATAGATGGGAGAGCAAGAGAAAACTACAAATAAATGAATGTTGGTTGTTGGAGGCAGTGTTATACATCATGGTGTGGGAGGGAGTACTGCGATGTTTGTCATGTAGTGAACAGTATGGAAGTGGGTAATAGTACTGGAGTAGCATTCACTAGAGAAGATCCTGATAGATCTTCTCAGCTTGGAAATACATACTGTAGGGGAAAGAACAGAAATGTATGAAATCATGAATGCTGTAAAGAATGCCTCCTAACAGATGGGTAAGGATACAATTTGTGAAATTTCTAGACATTAAATGTAAAGAAAAGGGAATATTTTTTTCATGCAGACGAGACTTTAATCCACTGCCAGGAGTGCAATGGGTGTCCTGGTAGTCAAGCCATGCAGTTTGTAGAAGATGGGTCCACGGGTGGGTTGTCTGGATCCAGTTTCTGGCCCTAAACATGAAACCCTGTATTTTCTGGAGAATGAAGGGCACCAGAAGAATGATTTTATGCATGCTCTGCTTCTTACAGCCTGCTGTCCTGGGAAATGCACAGATCAGAGCAGGGCTTGAGGGGAATCCATGATTCAGTATTTAGTTACCACTTTATTATTTAGCTGGACTTGTGAATACAATTTTGTGAGATTTACTTGGAAAAAATGTTTATTAGGATTAGATTCTTCTCAGGAAATCTGTAATCTCTGGCTGTTGATGTGATTCTCTTTAGTTTTGGATGTTCTCTCTCATGTACTCACTCATTACAGAGCATCACTGTTTTACTGGCTACACTGGCAGTAATTGTGATTCATCCTTTACAGTCTCTGGGTAGTATGCTTAGTGAATGGACCAAGTGAAAATGTTTGTGCCTTTGCAGCTTTTCTGTATTTTTCCTCTAATTACGAAAGAATCTTGTGCTTTACAAACCATGCTGAAGGCCTCAGTTGTATGCAAAAGAGCAAAATGATGGAGGCACAGAGGAAACCACTGGGCCAAAGAAGGCAGATAGAGCAGCTCTTGCTGCAGTGCTTAGAGGATTTATGTTTCAGCCTTTGGCACGTACATCAGGCATTTGTGCAAGCCAGTTGTATTCTTTCCAGTGATGCCTAAATTAAAATGATACTGCTGCTGTAAAAATAATTCTTTATATATCACCCATGCATATCTACTAATTAAACTTTCTTCCCATTTGTTTCCCTGCTGCCCTATTCCAACAGGCTGTCATCTGCCTTTGCTTGGCTGCTTTGAGCCAAGCTCTTTTGAGCAGCCAGCCTTGGGCCTTTTTATATTTGCAGACATTGCAGTATAAAGCAGCGTAAGATCCAGTCCTGCACAAATGGTGTTTCATTTGCAAGTAGGAATATAAGCATGTGGAGTCAGTGGGCTAGAACTGGGAACTAAAATTTGTTTGTGTGTTTGAAGGCAAGAATGATGTGTCTTTCTGGCCAGGCACGTATTCCTGGTCTAATGTGTCCTGGATTTATGCTTCTCAATATGAGAGATGTAACAGTGGGTACTCTGTGCAGCAGTCTTTTTTCTTCCCTGACTTACTGGGTTTGTGTAAGATGTTCATCTGCTATTTTCTGTCCAGACCTGAGAAAAAAGAGTGCATTAAAAGCCTTCTGCAGCATCCAGTAAATGTGGTTGCCTTGCTGTTTGCAGGTAGATTTGCTCAGCAGCCTGCAGTTTCTGTCCACCAGCGCAGGGATTCCTGCATGGCCATCACCTCCCCTGAGGCAGGCAGTAGATGTGAGGCACAAGGAAATAAGAAACGGTTTATTTTTGTTTGTTGAAAATGCAGAAGCTTACCATGTTGTGCCTTATGTCTTGCGTCACGTGTTCAGAGAGTGTCTGGTTGTCTGCTCGGAGTTTTAGAAATGCCATGGGAATGGTTGCATGACCTACAGTGAAATGCTCAGACCTGACAACTCCCATGCTGAGGAGCTGGAAAGTCTCCTTGGAAGATTAAAGCGGAAGATGGAGCATGTCTCTACTGAAAATGCCTCATTGGAGTGTTGCAGTGTTTCCAGAAAATTACTTCCATTCTCTTTCAAAGTGATCCACAAACACCATCCAAACTCACATCTGTCTTCGTTGCCTCCAGTGCTCAGGTTCCCAGTGAGTCTCTGTTGAGACAGATGAAAGCCAGAGGGGTAGGTGTGGGGCTGCTGCAAAGCCCTGGGTGCTGCCAGCAGGCGCTGCTGTCCCTCGCAGGCAGGCATGCTGGGGAACACCCTTCACCTGCTGTGTGCCCTGCTCCAGGGCTGAGCCTTCCTCCTTTGCTCTTGAGAGGTCAGAAGCAAGGGAAGAGCACTACAGTATGCACAGCAGGGCTCTGCAAATAGCTGATAAGACAGAGTGGAAATGGGAGTAACAGAGGCCGCACCTTTTGCCAGAGTCCAGTGGGTTAGATTGTAACTCTGTTTCTTTGCCAGGGGTTTGAGAACCAGACTGGGATTTATTTTTTTTCCATTTATTTTTTGTGACTGTAAAACACAATGGGGCTGAGATAAATCACCATCTTTAACTTCTTGGAATGAAAGGAATTTGAACACCCCCACAAACCACAGACAGCCTTGGCACTGCCCTACTTTCTGCTGAGTCAGGTCACTGGGGCAGTGCTGCAGGTGAGGCCTCCTGCCTCATTTCCTCCTCAGAGCAGCTCACTCTCATGCACGTTTTCTTGACCAGCATTGTGACTGCAGTTTGCAATTGCTCTAACCATCGTGTCAGCAAGTTCTGTTGCTTTGGGGGGCAAGTGCAAGCACTCCAGTGCACTAGGATGAGATACTGCTTTGAACATTATTTTCCCATCCTTGGTTAGGGTCAGAAGTTGGTTTGGCTCAGAGCTTGAGCTCAGTAACACTGTCTCAATAATAGTTTATTTAATGGTAGTGGGGCTATTAGGGAGGTGGTTGGCTGGATCAGTAGTACGTGAGTGCCTATCGTTTCAGTGCTAGCATGCTGGTCAGTTGAAACTCTTCAGTAATAAAATAGGGTTGACTTCTTCATCTTGAAAAGAATAAAATTGGTGTGTAAATATGGTCACGTGTGCTGTAATGATCTGGCACAGGTTTTATTGCATGGACTTTGGATGCACTGTCCAGAGGAAATTGTGCAGAGATGCTCCTAATGAAGATTAAGCTGGAAGGAGTTCTTTTCCAGTTGGGCAACAGTACACTGCTTGGGTATTCTTACATTGCTGCTTTCTCACTTATTTTCCTTTTCCTACTTGCTTACATCAGAGAGACACTGTATTTTAAATGTTAATGCTAAGATTGTACAGTATTTAATATAAAGGGGCTTTTGTGTTACTGTGAATAAAAGTTGCAGTAGCAGTAACAAGGATTCCATTATGCTGCATTTCATTTCCTCGCGTTCCACTGCATGGCTTTGTCTTAGGCTTAGGGTTGCATTGCATTGCTCTGCATTGCATTGAATTGCATTTAGCTTCATTTCACTGGATTGCATTTCTTTTTATTGCATTTCATTCTGATGTATTACTAATTACAACACACAAAGGAAATTGATATCTTTAGTGAGGTTGCTTTTTTTCCTGTTTTTTTTTTTTATTTTGCACCTTAGCTCTAAAAGTCCTTTTGACCTCAGTATATATGTAATAAAGATCAGTGGCCAGTTGAGGAGTTTGTGCAGCAGGAGTTTGTTAGTGTGATAGGTGATTAGGTGTCAGTTCAGTCCATCTTTCTTGTCATACCCTAACAGCCCGACTTTCTAAACAGTGGGTGTGCTCACAGTAACTGTACATTTTTCATGGACATTTTAAGCCATACTAAAATAAAGGATAATGTCAGTAGTTTGTTTTGTTTTTTAATTTCCAGATGCTTTGTAAAAGCCTTTACTAATAAATGAAAGTTCTGGATATCTATGTTGAGAAGGAAATGTTCGTATCAGAGGTAGGAATGAAAAATCACAGAAGATGTGCAGAGTATGAACTCAGCTAGACAAAAGCAATAAAGAAGGATAAAGCAGATAAAGCAGACTTCAAAGAAATAAGTTAAAAGGGAGCTTTATGACAGAAAGTTGCTTTCTTTCAACTGTGTACAGCCGGTCAGTCTGGCCCAAACTGCTGTTAGTGGTGGTTGTCATATCAGCAGCCAAAGGTGTGGCTTTTTTTCATTCCATTACCCTTTCTTTTCATGTGGTCTGTGAGCTTCTCTTCGTTAAAGTGTCGTATATTGCCTCTGCTGCCAACAGCAGCCTTAAACTTACAGGTTTTAAGTGGAACTGAAGGTTCTGAGTTCTGCCAAGCCATCCATTTTAGGATGGTAATTCGTAATTCACCGTTTTTAGTTACTTGTTCAGGAGTCTGTTTGATAAAGGTGACTTTGATTAGGGAGAGCTCTTCGCTGAATTTGGGAGGGTGGCAGCTGAAGCAGAATCTAAATACTGTGCTGCTTGAGTAGCAGAGCTGCCTCACAGAGCAACTCCTTGCCAAAGCCGAGCATCCAGCAGAGAGGGACCTGCCTTGCTTTGCAGCCTCCCAGCTCTTCCCTCCCTGGCTACTTGGAGTCTTCCTACCATGGGACCTGGAGCAGCCAGGTGTAACAGGACAGGTTTTAAACGGATTGACAAATGCTGTCGGTATGCTGACTCATGGGATGAGGAAAGAGCACTGTTAGCATGGGTTCTTCTTGCAGTGGGATGCGTGAGATCCCTGCAGCACAGATCCCTTGAGCTCACTTTGTAGGAAGAAACCTGGCATCTCTTAAGCATTTAATCATTGCCCAAATCATTGGGCAGCAAACTGGGAAAGCAACCCTGGGAATCAGGAAAACTGCTTTGTCATCTTGTGTAGTGTTTTTCACTGACGTCCTTGTGGATGATTTGCTCTGTATATAATACAGTGTCATCTGCAGTCCTTTAGACAGTCTTACTGAAGGCTGCAGTGCATATTTGTGTGTTTTGAAACCTCTGTAAATGCCACAAGTGACCCAAGTTTGCAACCAGCAAGCCAAGTGTGAAGTGTTTGGCTGTGCTAGGGTGTAAAACTTCTGTATTTGATGTTGTTGATGCCTGTTCTATTTACTCTGTAATTATTTTGTCAATAAGCCTACTGTCTGATTTTCCAGTAGCCTTGGAGCTAAGTGTGCGTTATCTTGACTAGTCTCATAGATCTCAATAAAACAGAAGGCCTGTAACTTTTTGACCTGTTGTATAACGTAGCTACAGCTGGCTCACGGAAGGGAACGGTTCAGCTTTAGAAACCTGGTTTGAATCCTCAATTAAAAAATATATATATCTGTTTTCTCCAATCAGCAAACAATGGTCTGCTAATACAGCTTGCATCCTTTTGGCTACTTACAGACATTTAGGGAGCTCATTTGCACTGTGCAGTAAATGGTTGGGTCTGATTTGGTAAAACTAGCTAATAAGATTACACTCAACCCCCAGACTGAAGGCTGTCTCATCTGGACTCCACATTTGAAGACAGCAGGAACTGCACATATCATCCTGACCTACTCCAGCGCAGACCTCAAAGTGCTCTCTGGCATTTGCCTGTGTGTCTGGTGGTTGTTAGTCAGAGCCAGCACACCCTGGCTTTGTCCAAAAGGAAACCAAGCACTCTGCTTTGGGGGTACTTGGTTTGAAACAAGTCTTCTGTCTTTGCTGTCCTCCAGATTTAGAACTAAAATCAGTAAAATGTTGCAGGATAATATATACCTCTATTTGTAGCTTGGCTGCTGAAAACCAACCCAAAGTTCCTTAGTCAACATCCATCTTATTAGTGGCACAGTGGAAAAGGAAGCATGTTTTCACAGTCCAAGAGCAAGAAACATATGAGCTGTTAGATTTGTGTTTACGCAGTACTTGAACGTTTCCAGGTGTACTGATGCATCAAAATCTTTCCAGTGAGCTGTAATCAACAGGGCAGTGAGATTGAAAAACGTGTTGTATCATGTCAGCGTGGCTGGGCAATTTGATGCTTACACTTAGAGAAATTAAGCCATTCAATCTCTTGAGAATGTAATATTGCTTACTTAAAAAGTTCACCAGATTGAATAGAGTTTAGAAGTTAGAAAAAGGCAGAAGAGTGAAAAGAGGGGGGAAAAGTCTGTATTTTTCTTCTAAGTATCTGCAGTTTGGGGTGTGCTATCTTTCTGCAGACCGTAAAACTAGAGATGGAGTACAGAAGAGCCTATTAGCTGTTTGCCAGCTGTAAATACTTCCATAAGAGTAAAATTGATCTTCAGGGTTTGCAGTTCCATTTTGCATATGAAATAGAGCATGGTATGGAAGACCCAAAATGTGTGAGTTTTGAAGCCTGTGCGTGAATCTTGATGCACTGATGAGAGTCTGTAGATTTTCCTTTCTGCAAAGAACGGTAGCCCTAACTTTACTCATGAAGGAGCTGGTGAAACATCAGCTGCATCTGTACAAGAAGCAGCGTGGTTTTCAAAGTAATTTGAAATGGAGAGCAGCTCACTTTTCTGTGGGTAAAGCACATGCTGAAGTATGCTAGTCAGGAGAAAATGGCAGTAATACCGAGTTCCCTGGCTTATTGATAGTTAGCCTTCTAAAGGCATAGGTTGCTCTCCTGGAAAGACATGTTCATTAATTACAGGATCTCAGATGTAAGACCCATTAAGTCCAGCAAATGAGACTAAACCTGAATACCCTTTAATTATCTTCCCCTGTTAAAGCACTCTAAGTAGGTATTTCTTCCTGAGGATGTTAGAAACTTGTCTAAAACAGTGTGACCTTGTTATGCTGAACACGCTTTCAGCTTTTGCTAGGGATTCATTGTCTGATGCTGTGCCTTTTCAGTCAAATATGATCATCCTCTCCCATCTGTTTCAACATATTTTGAAATTTGTTTATCAAATAGCTGCTACCTGTGCCTGATTGCTTTTAAATGGACACCTGCGGATTTGCTGCTCTAATCTTAAAACCTATATTTTGCTTTTCAGAGTGCACTCCCTTTTCAAAGGCTCTGGAGTGAATGTGCTGTGCAGCAAGCAAAAGAGTCTTTCATTCAGCTTGTCTCTGGACAAAGCGTGTAGACAATAAGTACTGTCCCTTCATCTGCTACAAAGGGGTAACCCCGACAGCTGGGATGTTACCACGTCAAAAAGCAGCTGGCAATATGGATGGAGAAAAGGAAGAACACGGTGCTTTGATCTTCACTGTAATCAAGCCATGTGTATTGCCGGTAGCGTAATTGTTTTATGTAGCAAACACATCTGGAAATTACTGTAGTGCTCAACGCAAGGCAGCTAGAACATCCTAGTAACTCTATCAAGCACATTATTCTTACGACAGTGAGGGCCATGTTTCCAATAGTAGATCCTGGCACAGGCAGATATGAGTGAAAGCATCCACCCTCCCTTACAGTGCTCCCATATTTGAAATCTTTCCCAATAATCAGAACTCTTATCTTCAGATTACCCAACTGCTATTAGACCTAATAGCTAAAGAATGGTTATGAACTATAATTTGTATGAAACCTAGCTGCAGTTTTTTTCCTTCTTTTAAGCAGAAACTTCTCTGGTGAAATTCTCTGCTCGGATTTCACTAGCACATGGAATTATTTTTTCTTCACAAATATCTGCATTGTAATCTTAATAGTAATTGTAAACTTTAACTTCAGGCCTTATTGAATAGGTGAAGTAACGGGAGCACAGGCACAGCAGTGGGCAAGACTGGAAAGCAGGAGGGAACAGGGCTAGGGCATAGGCTGCACATGCAGGGAGGGCTGGATTTGAGCTAATGGAAATGGGGACATGGCCAGGGGCCTGCCAGTCCTGGGCTCCCTTCTGGGAGCTTACAAACATTGCAGGTGAAGAAGAGGAGGCTCCTGTGCTTCTTCCTCCTCCCAGTGCTGGCCATGCAGGTCTGGCTGCAGTTGGGTGAGCTTCCTGGCGGGCCTGGCTGCAGAGGAGTGGTGCCAGTGGCTGGCGCAGGCAGAGCAGTTCATGTTCTCCCTTGCCACCATCTCAAACCCCGCTGGGTTCTGCTGTTTATCAGGGGGCATCCTGTTGAGAGGAGTGTCATCCTAAGATAGATTTCCTGCGCTCATTCTGTGATGTGGGTAAATGACTTAACTGTGCTGCCTAAAGACCTATCGTGGTCAGTTCTTCAATCAGTTTATGGAAGTATTTGTAGATATGTGGATTGATACATTTCTCCCAGAGGCTCTCCAGCATTTAAAATGTAGCACTTGTGTATCTCAAAAACACTGCTGATGCTAAGCATGCAAAAATCATGGATCAAATCATGTAAAATTCTGACTGGCTTTGAAATTTGAAATTTCAGACCTCTACATGTAGTGCTTTTGTAGTGTAACATTGTTGGTTCTTGAGGTCTGCCTTGTGTCATTAGACTCATCTGTGTTTCAAAATCCAGGGATTTCTTTGTAAAGATCTAGTTGAGCTCCCTTCCCAAAGTAGCTGGCTTCTTCCTTCTGCTCCTAGTAGCTCCCTGTAGGAACGCAGTGATCAGTAAGAGCACTTAGTGCGCTATCAGAACCTGGTGACGGGCCATCACTACCCAGGTGTTACGTTCTCCTCTCATGCCATGCTCTGCAGCTGCGATCTGTCTAGCCCTGCTGTGTTACACATCTTCATCCCCTTTGCTAACATGTAATCTCGCTGGAGGAAGAGCTGTGCCCCTCTTCTGACTATCATAAGGTGGTGATGTAGCAAAATAGAAAGCACAGTGATCAGTCATACGTGGTAAAGAAGCGCGGTGGGAGAGGTTATGCAGGGAGGGGAGGTCTGCCAGGGATGGCACAGGAGACAGGGGGGAAGAGGCCCAGCTTCCATGCTCAGTCAGTCGTCAGTCCTCAGTCCTCCCCATCAGAGGACAGTTGGAGACCTGTGCTGACCCTGAGGAGTCCTGGCAGGCACAAGGATGTCTCCTGCACTGCCTGGGGCTGAGTCCGTGCCCCAGCGTTAACCATGTCACTTTGTTTGCTCTAGATACACTTTATACTGCTGTTCAGTCGACAGGGGAAATTAAGGCTTCAGAAATGGTATACGACACTACCTGAGAAAGAGAAGAAAAAGATCGTTCGAGAAATTGTTCAGATTGTTTTGTCTCGCAATCAAAAAACAAGTAGTTTTGTTGACTGGAAAGACCTCAAGCTTGTTTACAAAAGGTGTGAGTAATTTTATGAGAACATATAATTACTATTCGTATAAATTATGTGCTACAAGTGGGAAAACAAAGGCTCACTTTAGCACTTGGGGTTTGTTGGTTTTTGTTTTAAAGAGCAAGATGTTGGGAACCTGCCATTGTGAGTCTAATGGCACAATAGCCCTGGATAAATAAGCAGGGTAAATTCTGGGGTAAAAAAATATTTGCAGTATTTGTCAAATAAGACAAATGTAGTAAGTGTAAGTGGTTGAAATTCTATGAGGAGGCTTTTGACTTTGCTCCCCCTTGGCATTCTTTGGGGTGGTCTTCTGACTTGTGTTAGTTAGGCTTCATCAGACTCTGAGAAAGGGTACAAGAAGAGTTCTGAGGCACTTTCAGCACTTTGTCTCATTTTATTTTTGAAATATTTGTTGGAAAGTGTTAGTTGTCATTTCCTTTTCCAAACAGATCATTGGCCCCAGTTACACAAAGCTAAGCAGTAACTGACTTCTAGTTCTTGCAAAGAGGTAAGTAGTAAACAGAAGTAGGTTGAAGGTACAGCACACCATACTAAGTGACTTCTCCCATTAGGTAAAAAATGGCTTTTCTTGCTGTGAAGTGTTGAATGTAAATGTCTGATAAGAGCTGCTCCAGCCACAGCACCAGAGAGTTGAGGTAGAATCTCATCTTGGGTTGATTTAAATAAAAGTTTTGGTGCAAGTAACAAGATTGGTTGGGCTAACTCGTTTTTTTGTTTTCTGGCTGCAAATGAGACGCAGTCAGTCCTTTGATACCCAGCAGGCTTAGTGAGATGTAATGCCTTCCTCTTCCATTTTTTCACATATTTTTATTTTGTTAATAAACAGCAGTGACACATTCTATAGCTTAATGAACTCCACTTACTGTAGTGCTATTGCAGCAGAGGGAGACCTCTAAGGTACTACTGACTTGCTGTTCATTTTATTCAGACCAGCATCATAGGTATTCTGCTTTGACAAGAGTTGGAATTTGCTTTTCTAACTTAATTAATGATTTGTTTAAATTGTCAAATCTTCAGGGTTCTCCAGGACACTGTGAGGACGAAAGAAAATGATTATTTTAGAAACAAGGCAGTCATTAACTATCACTTGTGTAACTTCTAAGAGCAGAGCACTGCGTGTGCAGCTGCTCACTCTCGTGTTTTTGTCTTCATTTTCCTAGATATGCTAGTTTGTATTTCTGTTGTGCAATAGAAGACCAGGATAACGAGCTCCTGACGCTAGAGGTTGTTCATCGATACGTAGAACTCCTGGACAGATACTTTGGAAATGTAAGTTTCACTCTCCAGCATGAATTGTGTTTCTGGCTGACTGATAAACAGACATCAATAACTGCTTTGTTTTGTGTTTCTTTCTACAGTAATTGCCCCACACTCTTCCTCAGTCCAGAGGGAAATTAATAATTAGTGTATTTCATAAAATAGTGCTGGTAATAACACAAGATCAATTTTAAATTCTTTCTCCCAAAACAAAGTTAATATTGATACTTCATATGTTTTTCTGGGAATAGAATTTTAAGGGGGAAGCTTGAGAAAAAGTTTTTTTTTAAAAAATAACAAAACTGGTAGTTTTAATTCTCCTTCCTTGTTTCTTCAGTTATAAAAACAGTGAGTGGTTCCATAATATTGGATGAGAAGAATAAAGTGGAGCAGCTTTTTGGGTTGGTTTTTTTTTTTTCAAAGAAAAGACCTAAAAAAGTATAGAAATTTGTATTTGAAAAAGTCTTCAAGAAGTATAAATGACCTGCCTTTCCTATGAATACTTTTTGAAATTGTTCCTACTACTTTAATTTGTCTCTTACCTAAATCACTGTGCCTTGACTCACATTTGTACTGTGTCAAAAAAAAAAACAAACAAAGAAACAGTTGGTGACTGTAAGGTCACGGGACAGGAGGTTTGTCTCCTTCTGTGAAAGTGTGTGAGCATATGTAACCCATATTACGTGTTCTGTAGAAGGCCTTTTGTAAGGCTAGTGGGCCTTACTAGTAAGGCAAAGTGTCAGCTTTGTTCTCTGAAACCCAGCATGTAGGTAGTGCCTTATACAAAGTATAGTAACTAGAATATCCTTGCTATACACAGAAGCTGCAATAAGATGCAGTATCCTTCACCTAGCTACCTGACACAAGAGAGCATGTATTGAATACTCCTGACCATTTAAAATTGTTTTGGTCCAGTAATGCTTAGAATGCTGTTAAAGTAATTTAGATTTGGAATGTTTTTTTTTTTCTGCCAGGTGTGTGAGCTGGATATTATCTTTAACTTTGAAAAAGCTTATTTTATTCTTGATGAGTTTATAATTGGAGGAGAAGTACAAGACACTTCAAAGAGGTCTGCGGTGAAAGCCATAGAAGACTCTGACATGTTGCAGGAGGTAAGGCTGAAGAAGATTAAAGGCAAGCACTTCATCTTCCTACATCTTCTTTGTTGGATAGGAGTTTAAAATGTAGCTAAGTGCTACTGGTACATAACTGGCCCAATATATCTTAAGTTCAGTTTTAATAGTCTAATAACACTGCAATTAATGTAGCAGTTTCAGAAGCTTTAAGCTTTTCAGCATTCTTGCAATTTAAATGCTATCATTTTTTTAAAATAGATGATATGTACCCAAGTTATTTAATCATATATGTAAGTCATCTAAGATGATATTCATGTCTAGGTGTGTATATGTCGGTACAGAAAAATCCACTCTGTTTCACTAATACATTGGAAACAAATGACCTACAATTAATGTTTAAAATTGGAAAGAGTATATGCTGGAAAACTCCATTTTCTTAAACACCTGCATAGCTTTTTTACGAGGCATAGATGTATAAAACTCATTCAGAACTGCTGCAATTTTCTCCTGTAACATGTACCATTGAGCTAGCAATTGCAGGAGAAATTGAATATAATGTGTTGACTTCATTTTTCTGAGTACTGAAGGGAACAGCGCTGGTAGACCTGGGTAGGGAGTTTCCCAGTTTTTATTAAATTGGGCTGGCACTAGCATATGAAACCAGACAAGCTAGGCACAGTGGCTACCTAGATGTGATGAGTTTAGCCACAGCTGTGTTATGTGTTATTTCAAGATCAGATTCTGAAAGGCTGTTAATGTTTTAAAAGTAGCATGATATCTACATTACTCTGGTTTAATTCCATGCAAAACTACAACTGTCCTCAAGTAAGATGAGGGTTTGGTTCGATGATTTTATACTACTCTAGTGCTCCATAATGTGTCAGTTGTTTCTTTCTTTTTTTCTCCAGACGGTGGAAGAGTACATGAACAAACCTGCATTTTAATGTTAAAACTACCTGGAAAGAGAACTGCTGTATGCACCTGCAAAATGCATTTGCTGAGATTGCTTCCCAATGTGCCAGAGAAAAACCAAAACCAATAACTAAAAGGGTTTGTTTGTATAATTGTCAAGATGAAGGTCAGCTAATGTAGCACAGGGTTTAACAATTTTGTATTTGCATTACTCTGCGTTTCTCAGAATTGTTTTTACCCTTGCTCTAGTTTCTCTTTTCCTTGCTGGACTGAACACTTGTTTTGTATCACATCTTTTAGCTACGGGTTTTGTCACCATAAAATGTTCATCTACCAGTACATGGAAGAGGTCTTTCTACTACTTTTGGTCCACTGCTGACCATATGACTCTACTTTTGTACAAATGTCAGTTATTTTGAATGTCATGATTATTCTGCCGTAATAATAAGTTTTTTCTAAAAGACATATTGTTGTGGGCTCTGATTTAATAAGTCTGTTTTGGAAAGATTAACCCAGCTAGTGTAAGAAGAAACTTAATTCTCTTTGGTCCACCCACTTTCTTTTAGTTATGCTATCTTCCTTCTGTCTTGTGCTCCACTCTGCCCGTATGGCAGTTGTCCAGCTGCTGTTAGAGCACAGTCCACATTGCTGTTTGATCCAGAAGACGATTCTGATTCGAGACTGACTTTTTCCAGGTTTCACAAATCCTTTTTGCCACTGCAGGTGGCCTGTTTCTGTCTTCCTGAATCCTCTGGTCCTGGAGAAAGGCTACAGCTGTTGGAAACATCACAGCTTGACAACAGGAGATATTCTGAAGAGGAGAAAATAGTTTGGAGGATTTTGGGGGTCAAGGATCTCATGTATCTTTTAATTAGGTTTCCACCAATAACTGTCTTTGTCAAGAGAGTTTTCCATTCCCCAATTCTGACACCTAATAGGATGAACTGGCTTTCTAGAAGTGGGCTTTTTTTCTGAAGGCTGAACAATTTAATTTACCTTTTAAAACTTCATAAGCTCCACAAATGGAAAATGAGTAAAACAGGAGAAGAATGGGTTGGGCTGTATGCTCTATTATGTGTTACAACACACTGGAGTTATAAAATGTTGTAAATGTGTATGCAGGGAACCAGGTGGGTAAACTTGCCTATCTTGCTGTCAGTGCAGTTTGAACTCTATAAACTGTTTGACCTGGCATCCTTGCAGAGATTAATTTTGTTTTTAAAAGACTTCAAAGCTGAGAGAAATTCTCTTTATCTTACCCTATTACTTGCAGTTAGATATTTTGTTTCTGTCAAGTCATGAGATCGCCTTACACAGAACTCGGGTGAGTTATCAGAAAACGTGCCTGAATGATCCAAGCATTGATTTGCATTACTCTTCATCATTTATTTTCTTGGATGTCTAGAATGTACAGTCAGTATTTTCCTTCAGGGATTTTTCTGATCTTTAAATGTGCATGGCTATTTCATGGTTATTCAATGTTTTTCGTTGTACCTTCCTTCCCAGTCTGTTTTATCTTCCTAGGGAGCTTTTTTCTCTATTATTGGTGTGTGGGAACACTTTGACACAACATAGTAGCTTTGCAAGTTGTCAGCTCACTTTTCCTTTTGTGTCTTGTCTCTTAGTGAAGCTGTGGTAAGTTGGTTCATAGCATCATGCTGCGCTTTTTATAATTACTTTATCCATCTGTTTTCTCTGTGTTGATGTCAAAGACATACTTTCAGCTTTGAAAAAGTGGTGAAATTGCTGAAGGGCTTTTAATAGCTCTGAAGATGCATATTTTTAATAGTAAATTAATGAAATTGTAGGAGTTGTATATTATTTTCTTCTGATTTAAATTGAAGTTTAGAGTGTTTAATTGATGAAGAAATACTTATTGTGGTTTTGTATGTGCTCTTTCCAAACCTAGCTCTTTACTTTTATAAGTGTCTTCTGTTCAATGAAATCATTGGTAGTTTCATTTACTTTACTCTTTTCTTGAGCCAAACTGTGGTTCATACTCTTATAACTGTTAAGTTTACTGAGTTTTCAAGTATATCAAAATAGAATTTCCAAAAAGACTTATTGGTATAACGTGTCTGTTCAGTCATTTTAAAAAGAGCAGTAGGATTTCTTTCTCTTTTATTTCATATGAATAATACCCTACGAGAAAGAAATAGATGAACACAAAGCTTGTATTCATGTTTTTTACAGCCTCCAGTGAGAAAAGGGGTCACTCACCTAAGCAATGCTACTGGAGCATTCAGATCAACCCAACTCTCACTTAATATGTTGCTTCTTCAAAAAGAAAAGGCCCAGATGAAGCTCAGTTATTGTCAGATTGCCTGTACATCACTGTCAATACGTCTGTGCCTCTGTCTTTGTTGGCCATTTTTTGTCTTTGTCTTGGTTGGAACTTGGTTGCCATCCACAGAACTGTGCAATATCTAGTGCACTCTGGAGCACAGTTGATCAGAAACTTTCACGTTTCTTTCTATCTCAGTTGATTTTTCTTAATGCAGGCCATTCTGTATGTTCTCTTTGAAGTGTTGCCACCCATTTCATCTGTCTGCTACTAATGTTTCCCTTTCCAATCTGACTGTCCTGGGACACGCTCAGTAGCTTTCTGAGCTTATTACTTAGTGAAATTATTATATTAAAAAAATTATTATATATATAAAAAAAGATTCCTTAACAGTTTTCCCAATTTCACTAACAACTTTTGCAGTTATCTAAACTCTTACCTTGCTGACAAATTTCAAGCACGTCCTACTTTGCAAAATAGCATTTACTAAAATAACCTTTAATCACGGTCCTGTTAGCCTGGATTCCCGTTCTTGCTTTTGCCAGCTGCATTTCAGAGAAAGCTTTTTCATTTTCTTGTAAACATCTCAGCCTGGAGGATCCTTAGTGTGATCTTACTACTTACCAGTTGTGACAGGACTGGTTCTCTGTCATGCAACTAATTGCAATTCGTGAGTTGTGACATCTTTGAACATTTCCTGACAATTGAAGAGAGACTCAGATAAAAATAAGTGCAATAATGGCAGAAGGAATATTACAAAGTATGACAAATCATCATGAGATAGGAGCAGGAGTGTCAGGATCTCACAGGATTCATGAGTTCTTTGCATTTCTGTTACTTTTTTCATTGTACATTTCTAATTGCTGTTGCTTATTGAAAGGCGTCAGCTCTCAAAAATAACTCAAGGGCAACTGGCATTTTGGTTATCTCTTACCAGCCTTTGTTTAAAAAAAACCATTGAAAGTGAATCTTCAAAACCCTTTCTTTTCCTCCTACTACTGAAAGAAAAACTTTGTTTTCAGAAACCTGTAGGAGACTTATTTTGAAGTTTAGATACAATTCTGTGTCTATATTTTTGTTGGCAGAATAATGCTGTATTTGTGAACAGAGTCTTTCATTTACTTCACATTCCTTCCAATAGGTTACATGTTTGTTTGCTATTTTTACCCTCTGATTAACACTGTGCTGCATTGGAGTAATACAGCATGCAGTAATGGTACTTTAGGGGTCAGGAGGAATTGGTTTATAAGGAAGGATTAGACGAGTTTAACAGTGTGAGTGAGGCTTTCAAAGATACCTAGAGACATTAAATCAACAGTCCCATCAAAATAACAAGACTTGATGCATATCCTAAAGAGAGAAAACTCCTACCTGTGCTTGTTAATGATGTTCTACTCCACTAAAAATGTGTTTGATATGCTTTCGTTAGCACAGCTTCTGTGTGAGAGGGAAATGTTGCTTTCACCATGTGTAAAATGTCTATAAGCAGAGGTCTCAATTGTGCAGACAGTCACTTTTCATTAATGTTATGAGCAGGGACTCTGCATCATTATTTTACATAAAGATATATTTTTTTTGTTTTAAATAGCTGCCAAGAACTGGTGAGCTCAGAGCAGGTAGGAGAATGTGACGGCATTCCTATGGAATTCAGTGAAGGGCATTTTCCTTTGCAAGGTCATAGCAGAAATGAAATGCGGTTGTTGACTCAGATATCTGTTAGGATTATTCAGGATGTTTTTTCATGAAGCTACTGGGTCTAGGTTGAAGTGTAGCAGTGAAAGCTTAGTGTTCAGAGCAGGAACAAAGGGCTGTGCTGCAGGATACTTAATGTTTGCTGTCATGGAAACCTGTTGCCTTGGAACATGACTAATGAGACCCAGGTTAAAGGAAAGGAAGAAGCCATTCTTGAAATTACTCTCCAGCAAACCCTCATGAAGACCAGCAGTATATATTACCAAAACTTACATTTATTTCAGGTTCTGTTGCCTGATTCATTTAACCTTGTCCTTTTATTTGCTTAGCAGCTCTAGTAACAAGGAGTTTTAATAAAAAGAATGCTATGAAATACTTTAAAGCTCATCTCTAGACCTTCTAGAAATAACTAGCTTCTTATTTCGTACTTCTTTCCTAGCGTGCTACAGTATTTGTCCAAATTCTGTGGCAGGGCCGTGTTGACAACAAACTGGCAGATGAGGGATCCTGCAACATGCTGGGAATTCCCACCCAGCAGTTCAGATGAGCTGAGGGAGTTTGGCTTTGGTTGTAGTCATTCATTTTAAAGAATATCTCAGATATGTGAGCGAGGGTACATATTCTGTGTACGTATTCCTATGAAAAAAACTGGAGGGGTACCTCAAAGTTTACTTCCCCTTTCTGTCACCTTCTTTTCAAGTTCTGCTGAGAATTCTCTTCCCGAGCTTCTTGCTCCAAAACCAGTGTGCATCATTACACAGCAGATTCTGTAACAGAGAGCAGAAATACAAAAGTCTTCTGTGAGCTGATGTTTTTCCTCTTGCAAAGGTGAATTTTGTATGTCTGATAATGAGTCCTAATTGAGCAAAACAATGCATGGTTTGGAATCCCTAGGCACACAGTGACAAATCTGTTATGGCTCGTCACGGTTCTCAGATGCTTCCTGGACCAGAATCTTGCATGATAAATGGGCAGCAGCTGTGTGAGCCTCGCTGCCTTGCAGAGATCATGCTTCAGGGTCCTCTGGAAGCTGACGGTGAGAAGGCAACCTTAGCAGAGCAGAGCTGATAACAGCAAATCAGAGTGGAACATCTTTAAAGAAGTTTCAGGTGAAATGATATGTTCTTTCTTTATTTCTTAGTGGACTTGCTTGGATATGGATATGCTTGGGGTGAGCAGGAGAACTGTATTGAAAGAACAATCTGACAAAGTGGCAAGAAAGGAATATTCTGCAAACAACAGAATGGGACTTGGGTTTTGCAAGGTGGCAGCTGCATTTGGGGTGAAAGGATTTTTTTCAGGTGTGTATTGTCAGTGATAAGGTGGTCCTAGTCCTTAAAAAATAGCTTGGGTGGTCGGTTTCTGTTTGGCAGGATTAGCACAAATTGGTAACATTCTGCTGGCAAAACAGGGAATGCAGAGGGCAATGAAATATTAGAAATTATTTTAAATGTAATAATGAAATGTTGATACATTCTGACATTCCCATCAGGTCAATGTGGGGAAAACCCCAACATTTAACGTGACAGTTTTGCCTGAAACAATGGAAATAAGCACAGTGGCAAAAACATTACCTAGGAATGTATACTCCAGTATTCATGTTTAAACCTGCCCTAAAAGACTGGACCTCAATAAATCATTTTGTTCACCCTTCAGTCCCAGGCAGGATCAGCTGCCCTTCAGCTGTATCTGGGTGATATTTTTCTGACTTCTCCCAGTCAGCCTGTGGTGGAGATCCTAAAATGTTCCTGGACAGTCTGTCCAGGAGCTGAACTGCCTGCCAGAGGGAACCCTTCCCAATGCCCCTCCTCCAGCTCCCTTTCCTGTAAGATGATCCCAGCATTTCTTATGATAGCAAGCATGGACGAAGAAATCTTATTGCATTTCTCTATGCAGCACGCTTTGAAAGGACTTTGCTTTGCTGTCTGCAGCTTCTAGGTGACACAGATCAATGAGGTGGGTGGGCAGCTGTGCCTTCAGGGTGGTGTACCTCAGCTCCCATGTGTGAGCCATATTCAGCTGTGGCTCATGGTTGCTTGTCAAAAAATTGAAATAGGAACTGCAGTGATGGGAAGTGAATGTTAGTTGGGGCCCATGGACGACATTATGAGATGTGTGCAACCTTCAGGCCCACTAGGATTTCTTTGCTAAATGATTCTAGGAGGATGCGCAGCAGAAGAGATGACAGTGATTGTGCTGTGCTTTGCTGCCTGGGTTCAAACAGGCACCCAGAAGCCATTTTTGTTGTGAGCGTTCTAAAGTAATGTAAAAGCAATATTGATCTTCATTTACTGTTTATTGTTTTGTATAGTTCTATATAGAAGAGTTGGGTGGTCTCTTCTGATAGCAGGCTGCCTGTAATGCTGCTTTTCGTAGAATCATCATAAAATAGCTTGAGATAGAAGGCACCTTTAATTAAAGGCCATCTGGTCCAACTCCCCTGCAGTGAACAGGGATGCCTACAGCACCATGAGATGTTCAGAGCCTGCTGCAGCCTGACCTTTGGTGTCTTCAGGGGCAGAGCATCCATGGGCAACCTGTGCTGATACTTTGCCACCATTATTGTAAAAAAAAAAAAAAACTTCTTATGTGCAATCTAAATCTCCTCTTTCAGTTTGAAACCATTTCCTCTTGTCTTATCACAACAGGCCCTGCTAATGTGTGTGTCCCCTTCCTCCTAACAGCCTGTCTTTAGGCACTGACAGGCTGCTCTTAGGTCTCCCCAGAGTCTTCTGTTCTCCAGGCTGCACAGCCCCAGCTCTCAGCCTTTCCTTACAGAGGAGGTGTTCCATCCCTTTCCTGCATTCCCTGATCATTCAGCCTGTTTGTGTGTTCCAGGTCAGTTGCTTCGTTCATCCTCAGGCTTTTGTGCCCAGCACTGGGGCCTGAGCCAGCAAGCAGGAAAAAGTGCATGTGGGTGCAGGGCTGTACTGTGGCAGCATTCCCCAGCCCTGGCACTGCATCAGCTGTGTGTGTGAGCCCTAACAGAGTACCTGTGGGGAAGAGACTTGGTGAGAGCAGAGTTCTGGCTCACAGTAGCACGCTGGGGATCTTGGCATTGCTGGCTGTGAGCAGTACTGCCCTGCAGCAGCCAGGATCTGAGCTGTGTGTCTGCTGCCCGCTACAGGCCAAGAGTGCTCCTGGTCAGGCATGCACTGCAGCCTGCGCTCGGCCCTGGGTGCAGAGCTAGCACAGTATCTGGGCGGCAGTGGAGAGCATTACCTGGGCAGCTGCAAGAACTGTGCATCTGAGTGAACTTTGAGCACCTGGGGAGAGGCCCAGCCCTGCTGGTGATGTTCCTGGAAGCACTGCCAGGTTCTAGCAGGAGACCTTACGCTGTTGGTTTTGTTTTGAGTCAGGGTCTAATGCACCAGCCTGCACGAGGAGCTATGCTTGATGCGTTGAACAAAAACAGAGGTTGACCGTCAGAGGGAGCAGGCAAACAGCACAGATGACCCCTGGCCAAACAGCGTGTGCCTGGGAGGAAGCTCAGGCTGTTAGGTTGATACCTTTTTTTATCTTTTTAATGAAACCTCCTTCCTGCCATTTCAGAGGAGTGGAGGGTTTGACGTCATGTGCTGATGAGTCACTGCTTTTAACAGGCCAGCAAGCAGGGACTGAGAGAGCTGTCTGGAGCAGCTGCTCTGTTAATCATTCACAAAAAGCTCAGAGAAAGCTCAAGGGGAATGCTTGTGAATAATTAAATTTCTGTTTTCATTATGAAGACTCAGTTGATTTACCTGGATCTGCTAGAATCCAGGTACTGGGGAGCGAGGGGGGAGGACAGTTATCTCACTGATGTGTTGATATCCCTGTAAATAACCTTTGGAGTCCTCAGTGTCAGTCAGGCACGTCTATGATTTAACAGTTTCATGCAAAGCTTATGTAACACAGCTCTCATCACCAGCTACTCTGTATCTATCTCTGTAGCTACAACCTGTTTGACAATATCTCTGTATTCTAGAGGAAGCAAGGGCCTTAGACAGGGCAAGGTGTGCATTTTGCAGAAAGACTGAAGATCTGCTGTATCTCATAGCCTGCTGCTATCCACCATGTACATTCTCAAAGGAAGCAGAGCTGCCCAGGTATGTTCACCAATGCTTCTGCTCACCTGTGTCTTTCTTCAGGGCGTCGTTTGTGAGGCAGCAGTCCATCATTCCAAGTTCATGCTGATTCAGTGTCTTGGGAAGATGTGTTGTACTCGTCATTGCCATGAGCCTAAACTCCAGATGCTGACATGCAGCAGTCAGAAAGTTTATTAGGTTCAGCTTCAGAAGAGTAGGACTTACCTCCACCAGGGTCCAGGTTGGATGCATTCCTGTATGATGAATTATTCACTGTTCAGCTCATCTCCATTGTTCAAGTGCTTTAGGCAATAGTTGCTGTCTTTGTAATCCCGTTACCGAAGTTTGCAGTAAAGCCAGGAAAACAGAGTGTTAGATTAACTTCACCCACACAATGGGACTGCTGGGCAGCGAGGGCAGTGAGGTTGCTTGTGGATATTTACTTCAATCGCCTGCAAGGATGTGAGTGGAAAGTTGCTATTCTGGCTGACGTTGGAAGAATGGAGAAAAAAGTATGCTATGAAATCACTTGAGTCTGAAAAACCTTTCTGCCTTTGGGCATTGTGTTCATGGATTTATGATATCCCACTGATGTGTAGGCAGAAGCTGTTTTCAAGCTCCTATTCATTTCAAGCTCTGGGAAAACTGAAATACTGAAGGATGTATTTCTAATAGATTAATGATGTTATATCTAGCTTTATGAATAATCAGAGATATTATGAGATTCAAAGCACCACAAGCCAGTGAGTCTGGGATGTGGGATAGAGCCCCGCTTGAATATCACAGCTTAAGGTGGTTATTTATGCTAGCAGGGGAAAACGTATCAGGAAATCAAATCTTGCTTGTGGATAGAGCACATTTTGTATGGTGTATGATAATAATGAAAGTGATCTTTCAGAGCAAAGTTGGTATTGAAATGCTGTGGAACACTGAAAATAGAAGAAATCAAACAGGAACTTTTGAAGCATGGGAATAAAACAAAATCAAAAGGAGAAAATCAGTTAAAATCTAGAAAGAACACAGTTTCTGAGGCCTCGTGTCAAATGTCGTGTGGCAGTTGACTCAACAAAAGATGCTTTTTTGATTTGCTTATTAAAGGGACCTTCCGAAGAGTCACTGTTCCTGAGAAATCAGATGCGTTGCATAGTTAAGTATCATATTAAAAAATAAAAGTATAAGATGTAGAGGCAAGAAAGCAATAAAGCCTGAAGAGGTTATTAAAAGCCTCCCAGAGAAATTGCCCATGTGAGATATATTGCAAAACTGAGCAGCAGTTAGCAACGAGAACTCTGAGATGCTGAAGCCTGACTGTGTGATGCTGAGTTCCTTGGAGGCCTCTCTGTGTGGATGAAGGCACCTGCAGGCTTTGCTCTGGCTTATCAAGGCTGGAAGTATTCTCTGTGCAAAGGGCAGGCAGGTTTACAAACAAGCTTGAAAACTTTCTCCAGACACATTTTTCTCTTCTAATTACAAAGCAAGTATAGTTTATTTTAAAAATAACCGATTCAGCCAGCCATTTAATCCTTTGCTCTCTGTACCCAGCAACGAAGTTTGAGTTTGTCTGGAAAAATAATAAGTGGAGAATGATTCACATGATTAGCAAGCTCCATCACTGGGATGCAGGCCTGCCTGCTGCAGCTCTGCTTTCTGGTCAGAGTAGATGCTGCAGGAAAAAGCACAGTGTCTATAGGGTCAGCTCATGGCCGCCTTACTTCTGGCCTCTTAATTTTTGCTTAGGAGAGCTTGTCCAGACTCCTCAAACCTCTTGCCTCTCTGAGGCTGCAGTAGGTGCCTTACTCACACAGCAAATCTTGTAACACCATAGTTTGTGTTATATTTGTCATTAATAATTGATGGATTACTCAAAGGTTGCATTGTGACATTTCTATTATTTGTTTCCTCCGTAAGAACAGTTTTGTAAGTTAAATTAAACAAGTTAAAAACTTTGAAGAGATGTTTCTCCAATGCCTTAGGATTTCTTCTGAGCCAGGACTGAGTTTCTTTTCCAGTATCCATTCTTGGTGTGACACCACCCCACATGATTTACAAAGAACTGTACGTCATGTGTCAACCAAGACATCAGATGACTCCAACGTGCCAGATGCAAGCTAGCATCACAGGTAAGGCACCAAAGGCCTGACCTTGGTGCAATTGCTGCCTAATCTTTGTTTCCCAAAGCTCAGAGGCATCCCCAGAGTCAGTCATGGTTCAAGCCATGTCTCTGCCCATGAAGATGGGGCGCCCTGTTGCAGAGCATGGGCTGATGTGCTCAGTGCAGGGGCAGGGCTGGTGCTGGCCAGGGCAGCGGTGACAGTGTGGCTGTGATCCTGCTCCCAGCCCTGTGCCAGGAATCTAGTCACTGTGGAGCATGCTTTGAGCATTTAACAAGACTAAAATTAGCTTTTTTGAGCACCCCCTGCTTTGTCAGCCTGATTCTTGCGTGCCACAAGCGCTGCTTCTCTATGCTTTATTACAGGAACTCTGCATGTTCCCATGAAGCTGTTCTGCATTTTGAGAGTGTGATAGTGTGTCTCTGAAGAGAGGCAAGGACGTGTCTGTCTTTTAGCTCCAAGCCTCCTGGAAAACAAGGTCAACCTGATTGTTTTTAGAACAGATGGCTTCCTTCCATGTAGTACCATTTCCCTGGCTAAGTGGAGTCTGACTATACATAAATATCAGATGCAGCTATATGTAGATTTATGAGAATACTAGAAAATTACAAGGTTGGGAGAATTCAGAGCTGCTGAAAAATATGACCATATGTATATTTTCAGTCAGCACTTTAAATAACTTCTTTTCTTTGTCTCCAATAGGCATCTTTAAACTAAGCTAACCTAGCAGATGACGGGTTATCCCAGTCCCTCCTGGGAGAGGATTTCAGTGGAAGATGGCTGGAAGCAACTGCACGAGAAGAGCTTGATATATTCTGAGTCGTGTCCCGCAGTGGAGGCAGGTTTCTGAGGCAATGTGAGCTCAAAAAGATCTAATCTGGATACTGCAACAAGAGAATGGCTGTGGTGCATGGGTAATGAGACTAGAAAGAATGCAGGTGGATTAATTGGACACAAAGATTAATTTGCTGTTCCTGAGTAACCGCATGCTGCTGTCAGTTTTGCTTTTGATATTTTTTAAAGAATTTATAGCCTTGGCTTATACTGTGTTTAGTGGCTGTAATGCGAAATGATGGTGCCCCAAATTCATGTCTCCCTGTATTACAACACACTCGAGAAGTGTGGGAGTGACCTACATGCCGTATGCAGGAGAGGGTTGTTTCAGATTTGCTTTGTTTGTCAGGGTATTTCTGTGCTTTTCTGCGTCCCATTGAAATAATTCAGGTTGTATTAATCAGTTATTGCAAATAATATTATGCAGGAGGGAGGAAGACCGCTTGACCTTCAGAGGCCCATTCCTGTTCTATTTTCTGTAAGAATGTGGGTTGCATCAGCTGGGACTGTGATTGATGGAAGGTACTTGCCTTTCTGTGTAATGGAGAGAAACAGTACCCCTGGTACACTGTGGGGAGCCCTGTCTCTGCAGGGCTGGAATCCAGAGCCCTTCCCTCCAGCTTTATTTCATTAACTCCTTTCAGAGAATACAGCAGGAGCATAATCCAATCACTTTGGAGTTCGGAGGAACTGGCGCAGGGTAGGACACTCCAGCTCAGTAAGGAGAGATGCTGCTCTGTGACTCATTTCCTGCAGCCAGCCACTGAGTCACTGTCCGCATTTATTGCTAAGAACTACGTGAAAACCTCTGAATGGATTCCTGGGTAGCTGATGTTCTATTGAACTTCAGATACAGAAGGAGGTACTTAAAGACACGAAGGGGGGATGTTGCCTTCTCCAAGGCCGCGAACTTTGTTGAAGTAGGTAGAGATGTAGCAGCTAGCTTAACAGTGTGCAGGTTTTCTTTGGCCTGCAGGCCACGGCTGAAAAAAAGGGCTGAAACACAAATACAAGTACTTTACAAGGGTTTAAATATGAGCTAGAGGTGAAATGAATTTCATTTAAAGAAATACAGGTTTCTGTTTTGAGATGAAAACTAACTGAACTCAGTAAACCCCTGCGTTCTTATCAAAATGGCTCTTTTGTTTGAAGCCATTCATAAATCCCACAGAGAAAAATACCGAAATAAGGTATGACTAGACTAAAGTGAAGCTAGATGCATCATTTATTTTTCAGTAACTTTAGGATAGCCAGCCTCAAAATATTGTATATTTTCATCTCTCTCCATGTGAATTTGTCGTCTAATGCCATCTTTATATACTGATGCAATATGATGTAATATTCCTTCACCCAAATATAGTATTATGCCAAAAGACTTGCTTAGGTTGACCTGCCAGAAGGCAAACATTATGCACAGACCTACTTTTATGTAGGCATCCTTTCTGCTTCCAAGTAGAAGTGATCCTGGTCATGAGAGTTGTTGACCACATACCTGGCAGTATTCATCAGCCCACCTGTTAGAGCAAAATAGTTTCTTTTTACTTTCTTGAGATCTAGTAAACATTCAGAGTGACCAAAGATCACCATTCCAGAATGGTGGGCCAGTTCTGTTAGCCAAGTTAACAACAACAACAACAAAAAAGACATAAATAGAATGTAGGGCCACTCTGGGTCCACTCATCCCACAGTTCTTGCATGGTGAATTCAGCCAGTGCTCCCAGTGGGGTCAGCAGTGACACACCTGGGCTGAATCTTGGGCTACTTATGATCTAGCCTTGCATGGCAGTAGTTGGTGCTATGGCAGGAAGCAGCAGGACTGCCTCATCCTGTTCTGGATGCCTCAGCGGGGAGCAGGATCTGGTGCAGAGCTGGTGGATTCATGGTTCTGTGCTTCTGGTGCTTGTGTTTCTGCTCCTGCACAGCTGTGGGCATCACAGCAGCCAGGAGTTTGGTCAGTTCATACATCCTCCCATGTATGAAACACACAGACCAGAATATTTAATGCCCTGAGTAGGCCATTATGTGAGACAGCTAAGAAATTAGGGAAAAACAAAGCAAAACCTGGCTCCAGAAAATCTGATTAGTGGTCTTTTTTTTTCTTTTTTTTTTTTTTTTTTCTGGAAAGTGCTGGCAGCAGAAATATTTTGTTTTTGTTGATTCACAGAGATTAGCTGACACTAAATGACTGAAGCTGAGCTGGGACTGACGTGTATGTCTGATCTCCATCTGCACTGTCTGAAACAATCTTCGTTTTTTTCCTGTGTGAGTTTCAGTGTTTTGTTCAGAGGCAAGTCCCTGAAACTTAACTTCCCAAGGAACTCATGAGTGGTTTTTCTGGATTTGCTCATTATAGAGTGCATCCTTCTTTCCCAGTTTGGATGCTTATGAAGAACCCATGGTCAGATAATTGGAGAGAACTGAGATTGGTTAACTAACGTGTTACCAGCCCTCAATGGTGACTCATGCGCTCTTAGTGTAGTTTGGCTTGTCTTTCCCGTGTCTGTACCCTCATTATGACTGCCCTTCCTGAGGACAAGGGACCAGCTCTGAAGCCTGAAAGTAGCTTCTGAATTTCTGCACTCATAAATTTGCTTTTATTGATTGTATTTGGGATATGTTATTGAAGTGAATTCCTAGTAGGATGTTGAATATTGCTGAATGCTGGGGTTTCTTTCTTTTTTTGAGCTATGCTTTAGTTAGTCCTCTTTTATCATTTAAATCATATTACAATACTATGAATCAATGTTTATTTTGGAAGAGGAAACTAAATCTATCAAAGCAATTAGAAAATTAGAGGTTTTTCTGAGCTGGTGAGCAGCCTTAGGGGGAAGAGGGGGGTTGTTGCTGTTGCTGCAGACAAGTTTTTAGAAAAGTCTCTGGGTAAGGTTGTATCATTGCCACAGCCCTCACTGACAAAACATGCCATAAAAGCAGAATCCCGTTGCTTAGCAACTTACAAGAGATGATTAACCCTTTGCAGCATGGACAGCTGTTCTCCTATAGGATGACATGCAACTATCAGAAGGGCAGGATCATACAGTGACAGTATGGAGTAAAAAGTGACTAAAAATAATCTGAGGTTATGATATTTAACAGCACTGCCAGTATTTCTTCATATGACCTCTAGAATTCCTGCTTGGTTTAAAGACTGACTCTGTCTTGATATTGTCCATGCACAGGAAGCCTTAAAGCAGAGTAGTAGCGACAGTAGATAGGGAAGTTCCTCACCTCTCATCTCCTTCCAGTGCAACAGGGAAATTCTGAAGACCATTTCAGGCTAAAAAATCTCCTTTTAATTAAAAGTGGTACTAATCTCTGAGGTTGACGGGATGAAAAATTTCCATTTCCTTCTTTGCAGAGGGCCTAAAATTCAGTAAGAGTGGGTCAGCAGGAATGTGCGGGTGTGGTGGTTGTGCGCTGCAGCGCAGAAGTTTTCTGTATGCTGTCACTAAGATGTTCCAGCACTTGAGTCGATAACTTCTTCAGATGTGATCACTTGGACAGTGTTCATCTCATCCAGCTTCAGCTGTCTTAAAAATGAGGCGTGGAGTCTAGACATCTGTAGGCAGAGCGAAGGGAGCAGTTGCACTGGGTAATTCATTACGTCGCTTCTCAGCACATCCTGGGGTGGGCTGGGCTGCCCTGGTTTGCCCCTTTGGAAAGCAATGTTGAAAGACCAGTTTGTGTTGTGGGCTGTGGAGAGTGCTGGGTGAGAGGAACACAAGCCTGTGATTTTAGCAGTATCTTGTGTGGCATTATTTCCACAAGGATGATTTCCTAGTGTTCAGTATGCTGCTTAATAACAGTGAAAGTGAAACAGGGTTTTCAATTGCATCTGTGGAAAAACACTCATATGGTAACAAAGGTCAAGGCACAGACAGAGGATTTTAAATTGCAAAGGCCTCCCTTTGTGAAATTAACTAGTAATAAAGTCGAGAATTGCCCTGAAGCAAGAAACACTCTGAGTTTCACCTCTCCCCCTTTGTAATTTTGCAGCCGCAGCAATTAATTTCTGTAACTATTGGCCCCAGTTCTGGTAGCTGCAGAGTAGATTGGGGCTGTTGGCTGCTGAGAACAGTTGTCGCATACACATTATGCATGATATGTGATGGATGGACTTTGTGCATCATCATCCCCAGTACCTTTGTGTATTTGCTGCCATTAATGGAGAAAATTATCTTAGCTAGAAAACAATTTGTATTTGGTAGCGTGAAGATTGCGTGTTCCTCTTGTTTGCTGAAGGGTTAATTGTGACCTTAACAGAGATGTAGAATCAATCCAGATGACAAAGTGCTGTGAACACAGCCTTTCCTGTTGCATATCTGAATGCCATCCATGTGTCCCTCTGTCTTTGGTCGGTATGATTTTGTATGGTTCTAGCAGGGCAAACACAGAAACTGCTAGAGAGCTTGTTACCTTGTTCACAAATGTGTTCACCTGATGCATTTAAGGCTTTCAGCTCCAGAAGACACCCAGTGTGACAAACAAGCCGAGTGCAGGCCACTTGGTGTTTTGCACTGTAGCTTTTTGTATGAATCTCCGTGCCACTGCAAGATCTCTAGGGAGATCAACGCTGTAACAGAGGCACAAACGAATGCAGATATTTCTGAGTTGTTAGCCGGATTTTTTACTGCTGTTTTGAACATACTCTCTTAACTCACCAGCAGCAAAAGAAACTTCTACCTCTGATGTCTGAGCTATTTTCCTTTAGCTACTGCGAGTAAGGAGACATAGCTTGCAAATTGGGATGTTGTGGCATTTGACTAGAATGGATGGATTTAGCCTGTCTGAAATGCAATTTCTCTTGGAGCCTATCAAGAGGAAATACCCATCTATCTTCCCTTCGTGCTTGCTGCTGTGTCACACAGAGGGACAGAATGCATTATTAGCCCAGCCTTGTACCACTCCTTGCATGTGAGTTACAGTGCTTTGGTTATGAGCTGGTAATCCTAAGCTCATGCATGTTTGTTTTAGGGCAGAGAAGAGCCAGGGTAGGTGTGAAATAAGTGCCTATGTGCAAAAAGTCCTGTTTGTTCCAGAAGAGAGACAAGAGTTAAAGCACGTTTCCTGGGGATTAGGAGGGGAAGGGCCACAGTGTCCTACACTCTCTGGTGAGAGAAGAGCACCTGCAGCCCTGCTCCTCTCTCTCCCTCTCTCCTCAGACACTGAGACTGGAAATGGGATCACCAACTGGTGGGTGTGCTGGGGGGTAGCAGGCATTCAGACCCTGTGCTCATGTTTGACTAGGATCTCAATTTGTGTTCTTATGTGTGTTTATAGGGGCAGGTTTTCACAGAGTTGAGGTCCCAGAACTTAATTTTTGAAGGGAAGCAAACTTAAGAGGGGGTTTTTGTGGTCAGTAGGACTGTCAGAAAGCAATGTGTACGGTTGAGTCTTGTTGCCTTTGGGGAAATACTTGGGACGTTTTGTACCTGCCTGACTCAGATTTAGTAAGCAGCTGAAGGCTTCCTGGTTTTTGTGATTCTCCTCTCTGCAGGAGAATCTGCACTTCTGCAAGATTGCAACATACTTTGTACTAAAACACAGTGTAAGTGATGCATCCTGGGAGTTACATGGGTCTTGAGGTGCTCTCAAGGCTGAGATCCTGTGTGCCAGAGGAGCCTTGGTGCCTCAGGCTTGGAGTCTATGGAGCTGGAGCCATTTGTCATGTACTGGCCTCTCCCCTCCCTCACGGGAGGAGAGATATAGGGCAGAGGAAGCTGGAGTGCCCTGACGGGACTTGCCCTACCTCCATAGGGTCCAGGCCAGGTAGTTCTGAGTCAGCTCTATGCTGGCCCTGCACTGGGTCTGTTTATTGGCAAACACGTGCCTGCATCTGCCCACAGGATCAAGTTCACTAATCCCCAATTTAGAGGGAAAAGTGCAGATATTCTTCAGGTCCAGGTGTGCTTCAGCCATCTGAATTGTGAACAAATACCCAATGCATTAAATTCTAGTCATGAGAATGGGGAAATAAAAGTCAACTAATCAAGAAATTATTGATTTTTTCTTTTTTTTTTTTTAATTTGTTCTTGGTTAATATGTAGCCATCCCTTGCTATGCTTGAATACACTTGCAAACATTAAATGTGAGACAGGCAGTAAGGAGTGACTGCAATCATTTTCACAGTCTTTAATTGCAGCAGAAAGTAGTCAGTCGACCATATCTGATGTGGAAGATCTGCTTGCCCAGGTGTTCACCACGAGGTTTGGATGTGTGATTCCAGGTGAAGCTGTTGCTTTCAGTGCTGTCAACAGTGAGCCCTGGGGAGCTTGCTCTTTCAGTCAGATGACAGCTAGTGACAGATTTCTTACTATTTGTTACAGTGTTGATGCCTTTTACTGCATGGCACATCAGGAGAAAAAGATTCACTGTTCTGATTCAGCCGTACCTGGCCTTTTTGTTCTCACCATTTTAGCTTCATGGGGTAGCTTTTAAATGTAAAGCCCGTGACATGAGATTATTTAATTGAAATGTAAACAGCTGTATTTTGAATTCATCATGCTTCAGAGCTAAAATGAACTTTAATGCCATGATGCTACAGAACACAGCAATTTTTACATATAACTTCAGTACAAAATCACAGAAAGCTTAACTGTCCTCAGGCACAGCACAGGGGGCTATTCTGCCACATTTCTCAAATTTTTATGCTTTTTTGTGCAGCTTTCTACCCTTCAAGTTGTTTTCCCTCCTACCTGCTCAGAACTTAAGTAAAATGTTACGCTATTTTTTGATGGTAAGGAAGCCTCCCAGTCTTAAATGCTTAACCCTGTGATGGGAGTAGAAACTTCACTCTTCTGCAGAGAGGGAAACCAGGCACTGGGAGGCCTACTGGTCTGAAGAGGTCCCTCACAGAAATCCACAGCAGACTGAGGGAGACATGTTTGTGGTTGCCCTGCTGACACGCCTCGAAGCCTTGCTCTCAGATTTGCTATTTGAATTTGCATGTAAGTTATCCCTCACGCTGGAAGCACAGCTGTCACTAGGAATATGCCCCATGTCCAATCATAAGGCAACAAGATCCAGAAAGAGAAAACCCATGACTTTGGATGAATATGCACTGGTGGCAGAGTGCTGTCTTTTCCACCCAGTTACAGATAACTCTGGGTGCCCGCGCAGACTGCAGCCAGCATGGTTGACAGACTGTTGCTGTGCTCTCCCAGTAGCACAAAGCAGAGCAGAGCCTGGAGTCCCATCTTAATTTCACTTAAGAAATAGCGAATGGTCACTGTGTCTGTAAATCTCCATCAACTTTTCTATTTTCAGTGACTGGGTAAAGGTGCTGCTGCATTTTTTGGTATAGAGGAGAACCTACTTTCTGTCTAGGGTCTTTTTGCAGGCTGTCAAGTGCTAGCAGAGACCAAAGAAAGGCAAGTCTCTGGCAACTCAGTTTCTTTCTGCAGGCATAGAGATTACAGTGAAGGGGTAGTCAGGTAGTTGTAGATGTTTAAAACTGTTGGCCCTTGCACTCCTTAATTTCTTCAAAGTCTCCATGTGACTCCCTTGGCTAGAAGATGAGTGAGTGTTGATTAAGAACAACCCAGATTTTTGTCTTAATAATTAAAGAGCATGTGCTGTTTCTTCACAGAGTATTTCAAGGTCCCTATAAACTTAGATGGTATTGCAATACAGAGCCCGGAGAAGTGTTTTGCAACCATTACACAGAGAGTTAGGTAACTTTTTATGGATACTGAAGCCAGCTCCACTAACAAGGCTTACCTATCTGGTTCTGAGAAATTTCTGGTGGTGGTGGTGGAGGCAATAGTTGATAGTTATGATTCTGTCTAAAAACTAATTTTTATTCTATCAAGAGGTAGAAAATACTGTGGGATGATGTTATATTTCCTAGAACATAATTCCAAGAAAGTACATACATAACAAATGCTAAATAATGAGAAGGGGATTCTGTCAGCAGATTAAATATATAATTGCTATTGAGAAAGATCAGACTCCCAAGGAATACATGACTGAATTTGATAGTAGACAAAGATGGTCATTGAAACCAAAAGTCTCCCAGTTACAGATATTCAGTGCTCTTATTGTGATCTGGAGCACCTAACTCAGTCTGATGAACATTACCACTAGTTTTGAAGTGCTTTTTGACACCCTGATCCATGTGAGTATTTTTATTTTCCTGATCCATTTTCAGAAGCATGTAATAGCAAAGTGTATATCTTCAGATGTTGCAGAGGGTTTTATGTCCCCGGATCCTGGTTATAGCTCGCAGCCTGGAGCACAGATAACACCCAGTAATGAGGCAGTGTGATGTCAGATACAATGGGTGGGGAGTTATTTGTAACGAACAACTGATTTAGTTTCTTTCCTTCCAACCCTCAATGATACTGTGAGGTTTTGACTGCCAGAGGTCTGCATGTGTGAAATGACAATGATTGTTTTATGCAAATGGGTTTCATGCTCTGGATCGCCCATAAGCAATTCAGGGAGATTATTTCTCATTATTCGCCATTTCAGCTGAGTGACAGGCCTTGCAAGCACAGGGCGTTGAGTCTGATTCCTGAACGAATAGCTTTCAGATTCACACGGAGCACACAAGATGGTCTTTTAGCAGGGCTGCATGCACGTTCTCCACACAAGCCCTGATGAAAACGTGCTTCTCGTGCTTTCTGCTTCTGCACTGTGTTCTTGTTGGTGTTTGTTCATCACTTGCAAGGAACGGGAGCGTTGCCTGGTCGGGCAGTTGTCTGTGTGCAGGCAGAGCACCGGGCGCTCCTCGGCATCCCGCCCCTGCCCGCGCTTTGGGACCCGCCGCTACAGAAGCGGGCGGTCGGTGCTGCGCTGTCCGTGGTGCTGCTGAGTCGGGGGCGCGACCAGCTTTGTTCTGTGGGCGCCGCTTCGGAGCGAGAGGGTAATTCGTTTGTGGCAGTCGTAGCTCTGAATAGGTAATGATTAATATTTCATGGTTATTTTTCCGTAAGGCATGAGTCTTTGGAGAATGCATCGGTCTGACTCGCTTGGAGAATTATTAAAGAATGATCCTGCCTTGCTTAGCTTCAAATCAAAATGTAGTCAGGCAGTGCATGCAAATATCCTTATATTAAATGAGAACTCTCTGGCTGTCTGACTAATGCTCTGCTGCCAATACGTCAGTACAAAAGTGAGCACTTAACTTTTAGAAATTTCTGTTTCATTCTCCAGTCTTACAAGTCAGCTGTCTTATTCTCTCCACTTGTGGTGTGGACCTCTGATCTAGATTTTACAAAAGGAATAATGAAAAACTCTTCTATGAGATCATGAATGTTAACCAATCACATAAATTGCAGCATCTATGATTCTGATGGAAGCTGTTCTCTTTTTTCTTATTTATTTTTTACTGTTCTTGAGTCATGAGCAAACCTCCTTAAAATATGAGGGCTGCACAGAAAGCAATACCTCCTATTTTAATATGAGAGTCCGTGTCATCAGAGGCAGATGTTGGTGGTATGGCAGTAGAGGCTGAACCTTTCTGCCAGTATTCCATTACATTTTGTTGCCGTGTGACAGATGGCAGCAGAGGGGCAGGTTGACAAAATGGTGTCTGACATGGAAGTGCATAAGAAGCAAAGGGGGTGTCACTGAGGCAGTGGATGGTACTTTTCATCAGTGGCAACAGCAGGTCATCTCCACTGGTACTGATTTTGGTGAGCATGAGATGCGGGCTCTTGTTCATCGCTGGTATGTTGAAAAAAAAGCTGATGAGAATTTGCTCTATTAAATAGTGTTATTGTGCTCTTTGTGTCCATTGTTGTTTCCATGGAAATGAATAGGTGGTGGTACTTACAGAGTGACCTACGTATTTCAGGACTGTTTTTAAGAAAGGCTTAAGACATATTGTAGCAGGAAGCTGCTATGCACCATCAATCAGCATGGAACAAAACGTGGGACAGATTCCTACTTAGGTGTATAGGTTCTATTAATTAATCTGAATTAAGTCAGACCAGAGGAAATGACACAAAAGATGATGTGTATTCCCTCAGACTATTGTAATGGCTTAATCCTTGTGCAAACAGCAATACTGGAATATAAATAATTCACAGCAGATTCTTCTGGTCCTAATCAGTGTTTCATTTTCTTGGACACAGTAGAGAAAACTACAAAAACGTGACAAAAGAGAATTAAGATTGCAGAGAAATTAGGTGTTATGAAGTGTCATCATTAAGGTGGCCTGTGAAATCTGGATTTTACTACCCCCACCCCATGTCCATACACACGCTATGCTTGTTCTTAATTACATTCACATCTACCAATTCCATTTATACGATGAAGTGGATATACATAAGTAAGCGAAAAAAAGAATTGGTTCTTTCTAGGATGTTATTTTATGATTAGAATCTGTTTTATATCATAACTGCCTCAGGTTTTTAAGAGCTGTCTATAGTCTGTAAGGCAGAAAGGTGTATGTGGGAATGCAAGACAGTTCTATGCTCATCCAACACTTGTAAATGAGTTTTGGAAAGAAATGGTTTGCCGTTCTTGAAATTCCTTGAGAGCTCACTGAGACATAGGGTCATCCTAGAAATTTCATCATCTTCATTATCAAAAAAAACCCCAAGCACCTAATAAAATAATCCCTTGTATGTGTATTTTTCTGTAGGTTCAAGTAAACATTGTTATCTGATGATCCATCTTTTTTAGGCTAGTGCAGCTGATATGTCAAGCAAGACTTGCTCAGCATTATTAAAATTCATACCGCTTTATGAATTTAAGGCTTACATCAGCACAATGCAAAATATGAAATCAAAAACTACTCTCTAGGTCAAACAGTCTTCAGATAATAAGCAATATTATCAAATATTACCACATTTATCAGTGAATTGTAGGTACCAGCAGAGATGTTGCTTTCAATGATCCACATGGCAATCAAATTTGCATGTTTGTTTTATGAATCGAGTGCCTGAAAGATATTATCTGTTGGTGTTTTTGTTGTTGTTGTTGTTGAGATTCTTTCTCTTAAAGTGTCAGTTTTGGCAAGAGCACTGATTGAATGTTTTAATAATTATGAGTGAGGTTTTGTTTTGTTTTGCCTGGTGCCACAGACACAGAAAAGCCTCTGCATGTCTTTTTTGTTTCCAAGTTGATGCTGTCAGTACAGTCTCTGAACCACAGCTGTCAAAAGTAACAACATAAAACTAGAACTAAGAATATTCAATTGTATTTTAAAGTTCTTAAATTATATTCTTACCTAAAGGCCATCGTTCACCAAACCCTGACTTCTCAAAACACATAAGCATGTTTTTATTTTTATTAAGATGAATGAGTTTGGTTTTATGCATCTGAACCATGTACTGCCAATCCTCCTGTTTTAACACTTTTTAGAAACAAATAAATGGCTCTAATTTGGCTGTTTGCTTCATGGATAAACATCAGGTAAAACTGATGTTTTGTATGTGTGTGGTGTATAGACCGTGGTGTATGCATTCAATCCTAGGAGCAGGTTCTGCATTTCTGGCTCCTTACAGGTTAATTATGCTGGGATTTGCTCTGTTATGCTTCTCACATCAATTTATTTTTCCTAAGATTTCTCTTATACTGTAAGTCTCATTTCATACATTTAATATCACTGTTCATCAGCCTAATTACCACCCCACCCCTTTGGCACAGATCCTGAAAGTGAGACTCAAGATTCCTGCCTCAGCCCCTGGACCATCTGCTTTTTCCAGTTCAGATGCGCTAGATGTAGTCTCCAGAGCAGCATTCGTCTTCTCAGCTGCACTGGCTGGTGTACTGCAGCTGCATCCAGGAGAACCGAGCCCTTTCTTTCTCTTCCCAGTGTCTACCATGTCTCCTCGGGTTGCAGTTCTTCCTTCACATTTCTTCTGTGCAACAGATGACAAAAACCTCCCTGCATGGTCAATAATCCATTTAGTTCATCAGGCAAGATTTCCAGTGCCAGATGGTATCTGGTCTTTTGATTCAGCTTTGAGATGTACTAGTGGAAAACCACAGGCAGACAAAAAGCTCCCTGTTGACTACATACCTACGCAGGAGCACACGCAAACCACGCTCTAGGTAACCCTGACAGTTATTCATTGCAGTGCTTTGTGACCTGATTTTAAATAGCTGCAACAAATTGTTTTTGCCTTGAATTACAAATAATTTATTTTGGGCAAACCAGGCCACTTTTATGGGATCCAGCATCATGCCAAGTGTGGTAGGTAGAGATGACAGGATGCCTGCCCTTTTCTGGAAGGTAGCTGCTAACTCCCTGGGGGATGCAGCTCATGTTTGTGAGCTGCTCCTGGCTCTAGACTCCTCTGTGCATGCAGACCCGCTGCTGGTGGGATGGCTGTGGGTGCTGGCTGCAGCACAGGGTTGCAAGACTGCTCCAAAAATCTGGTGCTACAAGTCTGATGGGAAACCCATCAGACCTGACCCAGACCTTCCCCCTCAAGAGATCATCACTGAACACTGGTTTTTAGGAAGGGACACACTAGGCAATTTCCTAGGATAGTGAAATAGAAGAGGTAGAAAAATTACAGCAGTATGTGTAGAAAGGGAGAGGGCCTGGCTCCCATGAGCAGCTCTGGCTCCGTCCCTGCATGCTGTCCCTCACCTGGGAAACCTGCTTGGTCTTGAAGCTGCAAGATGTGGAATAAGGATAGAACTGGGAAGATACTGGCAGCATCATGTAATTCAATGTCACTACCATCAGGCAAGGTCAAAATAGTATTACCTGAGTTCTTATGTTCACTGATGCCTGTGGCAGCAAAAGTCAGTTTTCCCTACTCAGTTCAAATGCCCTGTGTGAATGTGAAGGCTTTCTCAGAGTGAAAGATTCTCAGCCAGGGCTCTTTCAGATGGAAGCCAATAACTCCTGCTGGAGAAATGCATTTCCTGCAGCTAGAGCCTTGTTGGCAGATTCTGACTGGCCATACATGAGCATACAGTATCTATAGAATTTATGCTTGATTTTTTAGTGTATCCAGGAGAAAATTGCCAGAATAAGGATGCTGAGGATTTCGGTTGAGATTATGCAGATTTGGGTTTGTCTCTTTAATTTTACTTTTGAATCTACATTGCTATCCCAGCATCAAAGCAGCTGTTTTCATGACCAGCCTTCTGTCACATGGACACAAATTGTTCATTTTGAGTACATTGCATTCAATTGGAAAAATTGCTTAGGTTTAATATTTTATAGGAGAAGCTGCGCTAATCTCTGCTAATACAGAGACTGTGCTGTCCCTCTTCCCTTTTATATGTTCCATTTTTAAATGCTACTCCTCCATTATGAGGCAAGAAAAATTGCCTTTGATCATAGAGTCTTATTTTGGTCTCGATCTGGGAGTGCCCAGCTATGCCTGTAGCCATAAGCTGTCTGCACTCTTATTTAGATGAGATGGTGGAAGGGCTGCATTCTCACTGGGCATTTGTCTCTTCCTGAACTTATTTGTTTTTGTAGCCTTTTTCTCCCTGAATTATAGAAGGCATCGATGCTGGGAGAGCATTGCAGTCCCACTGCCATTCTTCAAGATCCTGCAAGGAAAACCTGATCCATGCTTTGCCCTTCTTGGGATTCTCCGTGCCCCTTACAAGCACAGGAAGGTAAGATGGGTCATCTGCCCAGCACAGAGCTCTCCCAGTCCTGTGCTGTATTGCCTCCCAGCCTAAGAGCAGGCAGTGGCACAGGGCTTGGCGGAACAGCAAGGCAGCAACCTGGGACTGGGAGGGCACTTAGCAGCCATGTGTGGCACACAAGCAGGATATCCCTAGGGGAAAATTGCAGCATTTTCTCCTAATTATATGGATTTTACTTGCCAGTCAAGTCTCTGATAGCTGAGAGAAATGCAAGACTGCTATCTAAAACAGCACAGAGGTCCAAGGCAAATGTTCTTCCCAGCTTGCAGAAGTGTTACAAGCTGTCATTTAGCTCTCAGCCTGCTTGGAGAACTGATGGCAATGCTTGTGTTTTGATTTCTGCTGGGGAAGAGCAGCCTGCCTAGCACTTATCGCTAGCCCAAGAGAGCGTTTCAGGACCGAGTGATAGCAAGAAGCGCTTACCGAATGTTCACAGTGCTGTGTTAGGGGGGAGGAGACCCAGAAAACATATTTCTGGTTTACCACCAGGGATAAATGCTGTATTTTCCTGATGTTATTAAACATAACATTTCCTGTGTTATTAAGCATAGTCATTTCTGAGGTGTTATGGGGTGCTTTGTGCCCAGGTTTCCAGCTGTACCCATCCCTGGGGTCCCATCCCACGTTGGGAGCAGTAGCTTGCCCATGTGCACTTTTGTGACATGCCTGTGGTGAGTTGTCTGTTCCTCTTTGCTGCTCAGAACGTGCTTCCTGCACACCTGGTAACAGCATTAAGCCCTCACGGACTAGGGAATTTCTGTGAGGTGACAAATTTGCTGTGCTGACGTTCTGCCTGCCAGGACACAGTTGATGTGATGCTGGCCGGCTCTCCCTGGCTGTATATCCTGAAATGCAAAGTCAGTATGGCCCAGCCCCAAAATGTAAGCCCTCAGCTTTAATGCTGGTGGTACTAGCTTGCCAGCACATGAGATAGTGTGAATTTATTTTCTCTCTTTGCTGTGAGCACTCCAGTTTGTTTTGAATTAACCTTTAAATTAATGTACAGATAACTGGACACGTCATGAAGTGTTCCTGCCTTATCCACGTGAGATAATTTGGTGGTTTGGGATCTATTTGCCCTCTCCTGGGTAAAAGTTTTCCTCAGGAAGAAATTCTATACCATCGGCTCTGTGCTGTGCTTTGCAGTCAGATTTTTTTTTTCTATTTTTGTCACATTCGTGACCAAATGCTATATTTGATTCTGACCCAGCTCTGTATAACTTCTTGTAGTGGTGGAGCTGGAACCTACACAGCACACACTAGGCAAAGAAGGACAGACCTATGGCCTTAAAAATGCTGTAATGGCACCACGAAAACTAACAATGCTTGCAAAGACAGTGCAAGAGAAAATGGCGATAACCTTTTATGACAAGGAAGCAGAGTGTGGCTTATTGCTCTCATAGCTTTAGCAAATAGATTCTTGCTTCCGCTGCTGCCAAAGCATCCGTTGCCCTAATGGCTGGGGGGGGAAGGATGTTTGCCTCTATTGGGTGTGCAGCTGTGTGATTTTATGCTCTGAGGATGGATGGAGTCTCATAAAATGAGTAAGAAAAAGGAGGGTTAATGGGTGGTAATTTTGCTACTCGTTTCTATCCTGCATTGTCAGACAAGTGAACAGGTAACAAAGAAGAGGTGTTCTGCCAGAGTCAGGGAGATCCAAAATCACAGAACTTTTCCATGTTTGTGAGTGATTAACACAAAAATTAATGAGGCTTCGATGTGATTAAGGGATAGAAATGGCTTAGCCCCAAGATTGTGAAGATTCTATAGAGCAGAACTGCTGAGATGATTTAGCAAAGGGTTAAATAATGTAACTAATCCCTGTGCACAGCTGTGAAATTGCTTCTGTTCATTTATTTAAAATGAAAAGTCACAAAAACAGGTGAGCGTACGGCTGTAGCTGTAACTTAGTTCACTCCCGCATACTCCTTTGTGTGCTCTCGTGCCAGATCCCATGGCCAACCAAAGGCCATTTTGGCCAGCAGACACCAAGGCCACATCATGTCCCTCCACAGCAGCAGCACCCTGTGAGCTCACTGTGTCTCATCCTGGGGAGCCCTGGCTCTGCAGTGCTGTGGCCTCTGCTGCCTGGATGCTGTGAGTGGGAGCTGTGCTGCATTCTCTTCCTTCTCCCACTTACAATATGTAGGCCCTGCCTCCTTCGCACTCCCATCCTCTTACGCCAGGCCTGGCTCCTTGCAGCAGCTCTGAAGCATGGGGAGGTGTTGGGTAAGTGATCTTGCATGGTAAGCCCGCAGGTGACACGTAGCTGGGGCAGTGCTGCACCCCGAGCACCGCGCTGTGCCGGCTCCCAGGTGCCAAGGAAAGCAGAGCCTGGGCCACACTAATAAAAACTCTTCCCTCAGTGCTCTTTGGCAAAGTGCAAAGAAAACCTTTTTTCATCCTCAGTGACTAAAAATAAATCCTATTTTGGGCTTAAGAAGGAGCTGCATGACTAAAACGAGCCGTTTGGTTTCATTCATGTTTGCTGTCTATTAATCTGTTCTCTTCACCCTCAGCAGAGTATGACTCAGACTTTCTCATTGTCTTCCTCCCTCACTATGTGTGTTTTGACTTTAAATCCTGCCGGCTGACGCACGCAGAGCTGACACCACGACAGCTCGATCCAGCCGGCTCCCAGCAGACTCCTGATCTTCACCGGCTGCTGAACGTAACACCCTGCCTGCTCTGCTGGTATTTTTACAGCTAATGTTGGTAAGCAGATGACACAGGCTGGTGAAGATCCTTGAAACTCCACGGGAGGAAATGCATGAGTATGTGTGTGGGAGAGGCCTGCAGATAAAAATACTGTGCTGGCTATAGGAAAAGATACACATGCCTCAATCTGTTGGTGGGTTGCTATTCTCGTTCATGGTAATCGAAGTGGAGGCTGCACTGGAACAAGTACAGCAGTAGGATCTTTCCCTGTTGATTCACTTGCTGTCTTCTACTCTCCCTCTGGTGAGGCTTCTTGACTCCTCTCCCACTAGAAGCAATGGCCAACTCCAGCTCCAAGTCTTCCTATCCCCGCCAGACACTCAGCACCCCCAGCACCCACAGGGTAGGGTCACTGCAGAGCCCCCACTTTCCTTATGCCATTATCTTCCCTTTCCAGCTTTGCTTATGAAATTTAAACCACTTAGCATATGGACTAAATTTAGGGAGGCATAAAGTATTTGCGTAAAATACGCTTGATTTTCCAAGTGTGAAAAATAAGCACGAAATAACAAGTCTAATGTTGGACTCGAGAGGAGGTCAAGTATTTTAAAATTAAAATCCTTTAAAAGAATCTGTATCTGTGATGATGGATGAACTTTTTTCTGACAGAAGAAAACCTCCCCATTCTCATTACAGTCAGAATACACGCAGGTAATCAAGTCAGATGAAAGATGAATTCTAAATATGACAGTAGCCCTTCTTTTGTACAAAATGCCACGTAAATGAGTTGTAAATTATTTTTAGTTGCTACTGGAAACAGAGCAAGGGGGAAAATCAATATTGACAAAACCCTGCTTTATTTTTAAGCAGTTACTGATTGTCCGCTGGCACCAATAAGGTGAGAAGAGAGCTGAAGCTGAAGCAAGTGGTGCAAGGTGGTCTGGGCTTAGAAAACAGAGGCCTAACAGCCCAACAACATTATTCCTGCACGGCTATAGCCATCCTCATTGCTGCTTCCCTTCACATGGACTGGACAGAGGCGAGGCTCACTGTCCCTGAACAGGAACAGCAGTGGGGTCCTTGTGCCCACCCCTCTGCTGGGACTGAGCATGAGGACACTGAGCCCACCTCACATCGTCACCAGCCAGGAGCATTCCTGACACAGCTCCTCCAAGCTGCCTGGCTTCTCTTTCTGCATTGGCTGTAGTGGTGATGGACATCAAGATGAGAATGGCAAAACAGAAGGGCTGGATTCCCCCTGCCTCTACTGGCTGCAGTGATGGTCCTTCCTGCAACGCCTTGGTTCTTGCATATAATGGAATGAAATCATGAACATGCAGAATTCAGGTTTGATTAACTTTTAGCTTCTCATGACATGCAGCTGTGTAAGATGGAGCATGAGCCAGGGCAAGCCACTCACAGCAAATGCCACATTTATTACTGCTCTGTTCCCAGGACACGCAAGAGGATGCAATATGGTCAGAATGAATTCAGAAAAAAAAGATTGCCAAGTTCCTATGGCTTAGAGGTTGATACTGAGCTGGTTCTAATGCAATTGCCTAAATTTCAGAGATGCCGTAATGTGATCTTACTCTTCCTTAAAATGCCATGGAACTTCTAATGACAACACAGATCAAATTTTCTGTTTCATGACTCATTCCAAGGAAAAGGAAGCACTGCTGCACTCAATATGCAAAAAAAAAAAAAAAAAAAAAAAAAAAAAAAAAAAAAAAAAAGCAGAAAGGGACCTTTATTAAGGCCCTCCTTTTAGGCCTATGTGAATCTGATCCTCAGCACCGTGTCCCTGTGAAGTTCAGTTTTTTAGGTGGAATGAAACTGACAGCCCAGTTATGGATAGCCTTCTGTAAATTCTATCCACTGAAACCAAAACAGCTGTGCAGAGCAGAGCTAAGCCAAGCATCTGCCTGCCTTCACACGCTGCAAATCTCAAGTGAGCGGTTAAGGAACAGAGGAAGGAATTGTGCTGATGTGCCAATTAATCAGTGTGGTCTGAAACGCGTGCCGACGCAGGAGGTCGGGGTGGATGGATGGGGACAGCATGATGATTTTCATGCGAAAGAACTTGCTCGATAAAGGTTGGGCTTTTGGTCGTGGAATGCATGAAAAAGAGTCCATTGGATGAGGTACAACAGAATTCTTGACAATCTGAACATTTTCTTCTTTCTTTTGTTTTTCTGCTCTTCACGATGACTGTTTTCTCAGCAGACCAAGAAATGCAGCCGTGTCCACCTGCAGGTGCTGAGGGTTTTGCACAGACAGAAGATGGCCCTGTACCTTCCAGGTAGCTCCACGTGTGCTGAGGAGAGGCTGCCTGACCTCCAGTGCTGCCACAGCACACAGCCAGGGCAGTCCTGTTAGCTGTGCACACAGCTGCTATGAATTCTACCTCTCTGTTCTTCTGTCAGTTTAATTTCGTAACATTTACTGCTTTAGGAGGTACATTCATCTTAGGGTGTTGGTGTTTTTTTTATTTTTTTTTTATTTTTTTCCATTTTGTTCTGCAAAAGGTCAAAATTGTCAGAAGAGATTTATTCTGGGGGAAAAGGAGACCCATTAAAAGCCAAGGTAAAACGCTTTCTGGAACAGAAAGGAATGAGCCTAAGCTGAAGAAATATGTTCCATGCCATGCCTCCTGATTTATGGCACAGGTATTTGCTCACCATACTGATCACACGTGCAAGTGCTGCCCTTTGCACAGGCAGTGCTGAGAATGCACTGTGACCCACAGGCAGTGCCTGGGGACTGAGACTCCCCGTGGGGCCACTGCTGGCCTCGCCTGCATCTGCTGCCCCATGCTACACTGCCACACAACCGTGCTGCAGCTCGGTGGCTCTTATAAAATCCCCACCGAGGTAGCTGTGTGCCAAACTTCACCCTGGGCTGCCTGGCACCCGTCCTTGTAGCGTGGCTCGCACCCACCTTCGCACTCATCTCACTATTTATTCCCCATCCCTTTTTTTCCTGTTTTTCCCCCTTTTCTTTAATTTTTCACGCTGTTATTTGTCGATTTTTTTCCTTTTTTTTTCTTCTTTTTCCTCCTTCTCCTTTTTCTCACCCTCACCTTTCTCTTTTCCCACATTTTTATCCTTCCTTTCCTTTCCCTTTCCCCCCACGTTCCTTACCCCTCTTTTCCTTTCCCCCATTTGCTCCACCCTACTCCCCCCCCCTTTTTTCCTTTTTTTCCTCCTCTCGTTCTTGTTTTTCTCCCCCCCAGCCCCTCCCCGCCCCAGCACAGCCCGTTCCCCACCCCCGTTCCTCCCCGCGCTGCGGATGGGCGGGGCGCTGCCACTCGGGCGGGGCGCGGAGCGGAGCGCGGTGACGTCAGGCGCGCCGAGGGCGGTATAAGCGGGCGCTGTCCGGGTGCTGAAGGCGGCGGCGGCTGCGGCGGCTCGGTGCTGGCAGGTAAGGGGCTGCGGGCGGGCATGGGCCGGGGAGCCGGGTGCCCCAATCCTGGGGCTCAATGAAGATTAGGGAGGAATTGGAAAGAAAAAAAAAAGAAGGAGAAAAAGAGGTTAAGTTAAACACGAGTGACAGCAGAAAGTTGATGGGGCTGTAGCTGGTGTTTGCGGAGATAACTAAATGTATGTGTTGTAGACCTGTAGATCCATTTATTCGGTGTTATCAGAGACTGAAGCGATGAAGCGTAACGTCTCTGTGATTGCACTGAGTTGCGCCGGCTCATCAGCATGGCACTTTGGCCGTGTCAAAATACAGGATGCACGGTTACCTTGGATGCAGAGACAATCTGATTAGACCTCCATGTGCATTCAGTCGTTATCTTTGCTCAGAACTGCTTGCAGTTTGTTTGTTTTTATTCCCCTCCTCCTCACCCCCTTTCTTTTTATGTTGTTCATGCTTTGAGTCCCTTGCACAGGATAAGGGCTTAGGCTTTAAAAAAGCAACTTTATTGCAGTTGTGCTATTTATTGCCAAAGTAAATGGGAGGAGAAGTGCTGGCTGTATTTCCTTATTTTCTTTATGGAAAACTGCAGCTGGATTTCCTCTCATAGTCCTAAGGACTCATCTTCAGGAAAGGTTTTGAGTTTTCATAGCAAATATTCACTGGAAACATTGCATCTGAATCAGAGAGAGAGAGAAAGAGAAAACTGCTGCTGCCATGGAAACATCCCAGAAAAGGAGATTTATTGTTTTGTCTGTTTTCCAGGGAACTTTTGTCAGTCTGCATTGCCTTTGTTCATGTCCAATTGTGAAGTAAATCTTTTTATTTTGTAATGAGAAACTTGTATATTTGCTGGACAGAGATTGATTTTACTGTTTCTTGGGCTCTAATAGAGAAGAAATAATACATTCCCCATCTATGCAAGCTTCACAATTACACATCTATAGACCAAACATTTCAGCGTATTGTCCTTAGAGAGACATAAGAATGTTTTACGCTGTATTCTAAAGGTACTATAAAACATCTTCTGTTTTCTCAAGAATTTGAAACCTGAAAGAGTTGGGGAGGAGTCCCTTACCCCCAAATAAAGTAGTATATTTCATGATATTTTATGACCTGAGCTTCCAGCTCAGGTCAATTTCCAGCTCCATTTGACAAAGGCTTCTGAATATCATCTACCAGTAAATTAGAATTGAAGATTGATCTAAAGACAAACATACTCCACGTATCTACAGTAGTACCAATGCCTTGTTATTCCTGCAAAGGAAATATTCCTCTGAATAACACCCTCATGGAGCAGTAAACAAAACTTCACTGGGTTAAATGCCTTCGAGATTTAATTGGGTGCTGCTGACTCTGATAATGGAGGGAGGAATACATAACTGTGTGCAGTAAAGGAGGTTGCTCTCCTGGGCTCTCTTAATGGGATGTGCATGGTAGATAATTACAGAACAACTCTACCTTCTTCCCTTCCTCAAAAATACAGAGTTTCTCCTGTTTTTATCAAACTCGTTCTTACAGGGAAAAAAAATATCATTTATTTGCTATAGTAGGCAATATGTAGATAACATTTTTCTTGTTATTTTTCAATTTCTGCTCCCTCCCTTTTGCCCTGAGACATATTTGTTTATATATAGAATAGTGCCTTGTCTACAACACAGTATGTTGTCTTTGATTCAGGGCAAACACATACCTCAAGGGCACACCTTTCCACTCAGCTGTTCTGAATTAATTCTTTATGAAATCTATTCTCAAATGCACACAGACTTGAGTATTCATAAATGGTTGGGGAAAGGGCTTGCTCGTCTGGCTGCAAGCTTGCTCAGACCTACTGAGGAAAAAAACCTGTCTCTCAACTGATGTTATTTTAATTATTCAGTCAAGTCACATTTATGTTAGGCACAAAAGCAGTGGGAAAATGTACAAGTGAGCTGAAATGAGCATACTCATATTCACTTTCTACTTACAGTAGTGGATAAACAATGGTATACATAGCTCTCTATCAGTCTGACGTGAAACACCAAGTTCTTGACAGGATGGTTTCACCAAGCCAAAAACAAAGGAGCCCAAACAGGTCCATTAAAGCAAAGTGGTTTCTATGTTTACCATTTATTTCTCATTGTTGTACTTAATCTATTAATGTAACTGCATCAGGAAAGTCTCATTTGTCTCACGGCTCCAGCGTATGAGCTCCTGAGCATCTCCTAGGAAATAAGTGACTGCAATTTTTCACTTCACAGAGCAGAGTGTGCTCACCTCGCCGCAGGACGGAGCTTGTGCAGCTCTACCCTCATATGCAGCAATGACGCAACTTTGTTAATCTACCCTGATGCATATTTTCCCCAAGTATGTTCTTTTAAACAGTTTATTATTGATTGTCACAAACTGGACGTGCTGATTAGATGTGAGTTTCTAGTGCTATATTCTATATTTATGCCAATGGCAAGCTTCTGTTTGTCCTGGGACCTGTTTCAACAAAGCAACGAATGAACAAAATCAACACTCAGAACCTATACTTGAGTCAGTTTTGGAAAATTTCAGTAACATTATATTGTACTTGTAGGGTAAATTATAGCTTCTCCTTCATATAGGGGATTACTTTTCATGCACCACTCAGAGAGCCTCTTAACTAAGATACAATTGCAATACAAATAATAATTTTTTTTATTAAATAGCACAAAAGGAAGTAATAACACTAAGAGTAATGACAGAAATAAACCTGCAAGTCATTTTATATGCCACATTCTCCACTTTATTACATTAATTTTATTGCAGTATAGCACCATTAAGAGGCATTACTCATTCAGAAAATGAGATCCCCTATGGAACAATCACGGAAAATAATACTATATGCAGTCTAAATATTTATATCCTGAGCTGTATTTTAATGTGGACATACTGGCTTTACTGTTTGAAACTTTCATTGTAATGATCAAAATGGTATCTAGAATCTTCTATGAGCATTCATTGAGCTGTATAGGATTTTGATTATATATTTCAGCTCTGCCATTGCAAAACTGGTGCTTGTAAAGAAAACTGCACATACAGAAATTTCTAGCACTACAAATCAGTAGTTTACACGTAACTGAGAGATCATAGGAAAGACTCTGAAAATCTCAAAATAAATTTCCATCAGAATACACATCCTCCATTTATACTGATATTCTTCGTAACGCATTTCAGTTTAAAATAGCAGTCTCTGTTTTGCTTCTCAGATTGCTAAGTTTGTCTCCATATATTAATCATCTATTTTTTTCTTCTTCTTCATTTCAAGGAAGTATGCTAAATATGGCAGAAACTAAGACCATCCAGCTTGGAGCAGCCTGTGCTGTCACGTTTTTCTTTGTCCTAATCTGTTGGGCTGATGCAGCTTCATTCCAGCAGTACCAGCTGCTTCAAAAAGACCCAGACTATGTAATGAAAAACTTACAGAGGCTCCCGAATCCTGATATGATCAAAGCTTTGGAATACATAGAAGATCTTCGCAAGCAAGCTAACAAGGGAGAAAGCATCCCTGATTACAACTCCTTTCAAAGTGTCCCATATGTCCTGCAACAGAAAGAAAACAAAGATCAGGTTCACCTACCAGAAAATGTAAGGGATTCTTTGACTGAAGATGAGTCTCAGTGGGTCAAGGTTATGTTGGAAGCCTTGCGGCAAGCTGAGAAGGAGTCAAAAGCTGGCACAAAGGAAAATAAACTTTATGGTCTGAGCTCAGATAACAGCTTTCCAGCTGGAGTAACCGATGATTACGAGGCTTACAAGTGGCCTGAGAGGTGGCAAAAATATCTCAAAATGCCTTTTGGCCACTATGAAGACAGTTCAAGAGACAGTCCTTTCAAGCGTACTAATGAAATAGTGGAGGAGCAATACACACCCCAAAGTCTTGCTACACTGGAATCGGTGTTTCAGGAGTTGGGGAAGATGGCAGGACCTGGTAATCACAAGAAGGAGAGGCTGGATGAAGACCAGAAACTGTATGCAGATGATGAAGATGATGTGTATAAAGTAAATAACATTGCCTATGAAGATGTGGTTGGAGGAGAAGACTGGAATCCCATAGAAGAAAAAGTGGAAAGCCAAACCCAGGAAGAGATAAAAGATAGCAAAGAGGAAATTGACAAACATGAAGAGGAAGTTGATGATGAAATGAAGAGGTCAGGGAAACTCAGCTTCCTTGAGGATGAAATGAGAAGAGAGAATAAAGATCAAATGTCAGAGAATGTTTCAAAGTTAATGAATTATTACCTGAAGAGGCTGATGGGCAGTGCTGGAAACAGGAAACTAAGGACTGGAGGAGAGCTTGAGGAGAAAAGAGCAGCCTCAATTTTGGACAAGCAACTCAACCCTCAGTCTATAGCTCAGTTAATAGAAATGTCAAGGAATTTACAAATTCCTCCAGAGGATTTAATAGATATGTTGAAAGCTGGGGAGAAAAAACAGCTTCAGAGTGAAAGGTTGGAAGCTGAGCAGGAAGCAGAATTCCCAGAAGACCTCGATGAGATCACTGAAACTAATCTGGGACAGAGTGACATATTTAAAAATAATGTAAACTCTAAAAATGGGTACATGAAGCAGCCTCTTAATGCAATTCCAGAAAATCTACCTGAAGACCTCAATATTGAAGACATTGTCAGTCTTCTGGGAACTGGCAATTTAGGTAATCAGAATCCCTCCTACTTACTAAATCGTCTTAATCAAGAAAATGATTTGCCAAGACTGCCTTACATTCCCAGAAGACTGAAAGGACGCCCAGTTCCCAAATCTGCGTGGATTAACGATTTGGAAAGGCGACAAATGGAGTACGAGAAACTGGATGAGAAGGATGAAGAGCTGGCTGATTACTTGGCAAAGATGCTGGCAAAATATCCCGAAGTTATCAACGCGAACCAGATGAAAAGAGTTCCCGTTCCAGCTTCTGAAAGCGACTTGCAGGAAGACGAGAGGCTGGAGCAGGCCATCAGAGAGCAACTGAGCCAGCTGGGACCACAGGAGGCTGCGAGGCTGGCTTCACTCAGCAAAAGGCTCTCCATGGCTGGGGACACCGATGACACGCAAAACAGGCAGTATCTGGACGAGGATATGCTGGCAAAGGTGCTGGAGTATCTAAAACAGGAGAAATCAGAGCTTGAAAGAGATCACATTACTAAACGGGCAATGGAAAATATGTAATTGTTCTCCAAATATGATTTCTCTCCCACGTGTTGACTTCAATCCCAATTCAGTTGTGATTTACTCCCGCTCTCCCACTACACAACTTCTGGTAGACTACTTACCATTGAACAGTCTGCATATCTTTCTCGGAGCTGTTATCTTGTTTATTGATATACTTATGTATGTTATAAATTATGGGGCAAATAACAAGTTGCTTCAAGTGTTTTAAGAAACAATTTAATGAAATCAAGTAAAACTATAATATGTAAACAAATGACCTTCGCATTGTTAATAAAACATGATAAATGAAGAGTGAGAATTATCATTTGAAATTTTTAAGATTAACTGGATTATTTTGTTACTGTCTGTAGTGTTTTTTGTGGAGTATCGAATAAAAAAATAAAGCATTATATATATAGTTTTATTTACAAGGCTTTTTCTATTCAGTGTTTTACTGTTAATGAATAAATTATTTCTGGACAACAGCCTGTGTTTCTTTCTAGGAGTTGGTAAAGTCATAGAAATTAGAAACTGAAACATATTTTTACTTCTACAAATTTTTTTTCCGTGGTCTGCGATTTTACCGCATATTAATTAAGTGGCATAATTCTTCTTTTCTGGGTTGTAATACCACTGAGTGGCATTATCTTCCAGGTATTGAGTACCTGAAGATCTTGCTGAAGTCAAAAGTGAACTGCACTACACTGTTTGAAAACTGAGCCCCAAGAAACTAATGACTTTGTATCTCTTGGCAGTAGTGCAAGAGAAATGATCTTGCTAGCTAAGACAAACTATATAGAAAGTTCTAAATAATACCAAATGGAATCTTCTCATCTGAGAATTTCTACAGATAGATTCTTTGCCACCTTTCACAATGGCTACAGTGGAGAAAGAAACAAGCCCCAAGGCAAGCAGAGAACTAACGCTGATGGTAATATTCCTTTCTTGTCTAATAAAAGTAGTTTTTGTTAAATGATGGTTAAATATGCTCAATAAGCATACAGATCTTTATCACTCACTACATTACTTGACATCCTGGACATGTGAAAGATCTCTCAGGCTCTTGCCAAGAACTGTAGGGGATGTTCTGGAAAAGCTACAGCTACTTTCCAGAACTAAATGTACTTGTGTAACTCCATGAGTCACACATGTTTTTCACTAGGACAACTCAGGCATAAGCATTTCCAGGATTATGGTTTAAAAGTAGTTCTCCCTGCGGTATTCTTCAGCATCTCATCTATGCTAAGTGGGGTGGGGATGATTTTTGGCGAGGTAATGTCTAATGAAGCAGAGTACAAAGGCTGCAGAAATAAGAGTTCATTTCCAGTGTCACAATTACCTGAAGCAATTGCAGATTATAGTTCATCCAGAGCTCTTGCTTTGGACCACGTTAAAATTCTTCATTTCTCTGTTACATGGATGAGTCAAAACATTAAGCAGAGAACTGAAAAAAATTACTGGAGTGAGATTTGCTTTTATACTCTAAGGAAAGACAAACCTGTTGCTTTTCAAGTAGTGCTTGCTGGTGATGTGAAACCACTGTCTTTCATTTTCACTTTGATTCCTAATGCTGTCACCCTCCTTGGTCGCAACACTGCCCTTGCAGGGTTGGGTGAGCCCATGGTGGGAGCAGAGGCTGTGCTGGGTCAGGGTCCTGCAGCTGGCAGCTGAGCAGCAGAAGCCTGCACAGGCCCTGGGTACTCACAGCCTACACAGAAACCAACAGGCATGCAGATGCGCTGTTCAATGCAGGTGTTGAGCACCAGCAGGATACCAGACTAAATAAATGCAAACCAATTAGCAGGAAAAGGTTCAGAAAACACAGCAAAAATTTTGTCATTGGCTTTTTCCCTTTCCCTTCCTCTCCTTTTCCATTTTTTCCCTTCCCTTTTTTTTCTTCTCCTTTCCTTCCTTCTTTCAATGGTGACAGACAAGGGTGGATTTAATAACGAGCATTCTCGCCCCATTCTCCAGGGAAGCGAGCCCTGAGGAGCATCATATGAGGCTGCCCAGGTTGCTATGGCAGTTGGGAGGAGAGTGGCAGGCAACAGCCGTGGTGGCCCAGCAGCACCTGGGAGGTGGTAATGAAAACTGCTCTGCAGAAATCCCCTTTGTTTCTCCTTTGTGCCAAGATAGAGCTTTAGATGGCATCTACCACAACCCTTGGGTCTTGGTGCTGTGCTGCATGTGGGCTCGGCACTTTCTTTCCCTGGTGCTGATGCCTGCAGCACTGCAGCTCTCTCCCAGTGCTACCAATAATCACTAGAGCTCAGGGTATCCTGAGGGACTTGACTCAGAGAACCTGATGTTTTTCTCAAGCAAAAAACAAAGCCAGCAGGCTGCAGGGCTCATGGTTTAAGGTCGGCTTTTTTTTCCTCATGTTGTTTATTAAGTCAGTGTATGAGTTTGCATCAAAACTACAATGTTTTACACCAGCTATTAACAGTGTACTACTGTTATGCCCACTGTTAATCAATCTCCTTGGTTTTGAAAAATTTGTAAGGCTCAACCAGTGCTCCTTAAACACCCCAGCAGTACCATACCTCCAGCTATAAGGTGTGCAGGAACACAACTGAGATGGCACACAGAGGAGACACAGTCAAGCATGGCCAATAGCAGTTTTAAGTCCATCAGTGTCCTTTCCCTTCTACCACAGTCCTTAGCACTCCCTGGCCCAGGCTCCCCAGGCAGCTGTCTGGCACAAACGTTACCTTGTGGCTCATATCCAAGGCAAGAGCAGGGAAAAATTAGGGTACAAGAACAAGCTGAGGGTCTAAGGATCTGGAACATCTTTAAGTCTTGTACAAATCCATTCATAAGGGAACAAATTATTTCAGAGACTGTACAGAAGAAAATAAAGCCATACCTCAAAGCAGAATGGATATCAATACCCACCTTGCAATATTCTGCCTTCCTCATTGCGTGCAGGAGTCGTACAGCCCCTCATGCAAGGGGAACTATGAGAGACTTTCTATAGTCTGCTGCCTCTACAGTTTACCTCTTGTTCACATTATTCTAAGTGGTGATGGCAGCTGTATGATCTGCTTGATGCCTAGGACCCAGTCAGAAGCAATGCTCCTTCTGGTCTCCCATGCAGCCAGCTGGGCCAGCAGGGTCTGGCAAAAGGAGAAGAGGAAGGGCAAGACATTCATTCATTACTGTGGAAGTAACAAAATTCAGAAGAGAAGCTTCTGCACAAGTCATTGCACCAGTAGTGTGAGAGCCATTGGGACTTTGTTGTGGTGGTTTATCTTCATAAAAAGGAAAAGGTTGTTAAGCTTCAAATAACGGAGTTACATGTTGCACAATAGAACTACACAGAGGTTTCAAGCTGATTTCAAGATAAAAAGCAACATTTATATCCTTTCCTCTTCCAGACAAAGAAAATACATAGCTAATCTCATCGTAAAGTGCTTTATTCTTTTTTTTTTTTTTTAACGAAACGAGCAAATATTATATAAGCAGCACCTTCTTGGTATCTATAGATACATTACCTCTGGACATGTAACTCAAGCTCCTGCAGAAGAGCAGATAGCTACATCTCACTGCAGGACACTGCTATCCGCAAGCTGCTCTGCCTGTGCAGAGACACACCACAGTGCTTTACTGCTCCCAAGTCCACAGCCACTGCACCTGGATTGCCTGTGCTTTATGCTTTGCTTATGAACACAGTGCGATGAAGTCATGCTGTTAACTAAGGAATATGTAATCCATAACAAACACACTACCAAGCTTGTTGTTATAATAATGCACAAAATAGTGACCACCCTGCAAGCTTTCCTCAGGCAAAGGAAGAGGCAGAGTTTTAATTCCCCTTTTGAGCCACAGTTTCATAGCATCCTGGATGCAGCTGGTCTGCACACTGTTTGTTAGGGGCTTTCTGTTCACATCTTACCCCTAAAGGCTGCAGTCAGCTTCACAGTGTTCTCACACTTAAGCAAGCAGATTGAATAGATATGTTGTGTTTGGTTGCAACCTATCAAGCTGCCAAACACCTTTCTGAAGATCTGAGGGAGTTCTCTATACATCCACCAGAATTCACTCTATTAGTAACCAGGAGAGTTAATACCTTTTTGGTTTTCTTCTTTCCTCACTAAGTCACATGTTACTTCAAGTGCTTTGTTTACATCTGCATCTTGATGGCTCATTATTTTGTCAGCTAGGGCTATGAAATGAGAACATTTGCTGATTCAAAAATTAATGTAACCACATTATCTCATTTGAAGAAATTGGATTGTTGCAATTATTATTTTTTTTTTTGAAGAGCATTTTACATTGCAGTGAAAGGAGTTTGACTCACATACATATGACAGTCACCAGCATCTCTCAAAGCATTTACAAGATCACTTGTTTTGCAGGCAAAGCGACAGGAAGCAGCTATGATTTTCTGAACGTGCCAATGGTTGAGCTGTGGCTGGAAGGCATGCGTCCTGAGCAATGCTCTAATTCCTAGTATTATTCTGCCATTTCTACTGTTACTAGCTAACAGGAAGCCTAATGCCTCAAGCTCTGCTCCTCCAGGCTAATCCTGCCCAGACCAATCTTCTGCTTTCTCAGTGTGAATCATGCATTGTGGAGAGCAGATATGATGAGCTCTGTGTGGGAACTGCATTTCCTGGAGCACCCCTTATCTGACCCCAAGGTGCACAATGCTGATCTGGGGCTGTTTGCTAAATGAGGTGCAAATCCACACAGACACAGCCGCTGCCAGCCGCACTCTACATTTGGCTCCACATGTGCCTCTGGAGCAGCAAGAGCTCAGGCTGGGAGCAGCAGGAAGGTGCAGAACTTCCAATGCACAATGTGGAAAGGAGAAGCCCTGAATCAGAGCTGATGATCCGAACAGCATGACTTTTGGATCATTCAAAAAGGTTTGAAAGCGTTAATAATTCATTTGCAGATATTGCAGAGCTCTAAATGTGCCTGATTAAATGCACTTGACATTTCTCTTGAGAGAGGCTGTTATTCCAGGAAAACCACTTGCTATCTGCAAATGTCTTGGAAGCAGCACACTCAAAATTGCGGCCTCACTTACAATGTTTTCCCCTAGTAAAGGAAGAAAAGTAACCCCTGCCTCCAAATGTAACATACACTGGTGAATACCTCCATTACAGCAGTTTGAAACTCATAATTCTATGATTCCACATAACAGACATTCAGTGTGCACTGACCAGCAGGTTGGTGCAGCACTCCACCTGTCTCCACTGAGACGCGCTACAGGCACCAAGCTCTGCCTCGCCAGGGGAGTAGAGCACGGAAATTGTTGTTTGGAAACTCCCCAGCTCATACAATTGCAGCTCCGTGACGTGCTTCCCAAACACCTTCCTGCTGTCCACCTAAAAATAGAGCCCCTTCTGCATCCCAGCAGGAAAGGCAGCCCCAGCACAGCTGATGCCCACAGCACGGTGCTGTGGTCAGAGCTGGAGCAGGGCAGCAGCCAGAAGAGAATGAGCTTTATGTCACCTCTGACACCAAATCTGGGTCTAGCAGGATTGTAGTGCTTTAGGCTTAAGGTAGAATAAATCTCTCCAGGCATAGCTGTGAGGTTTTCCATTTAAATCTGGCCATGGATTATTGAGGTGGGTGGCCCATGTGGGCAATTACCACCACTGCAGTATCTCATCCTCTGGCCTTGGCAGGACACATCCCCGCCACAGCCTTGGCAGAGGGCACATGGACAAATCCTTCTTGGCTCTTTCCTCCTGCCCTAGGCACGTGCCAGCACCATGCTGGGTACTGCAGCATGCAGCAGAGGAGGCACACTGTGTTCCTATTGCCAGGTGCAGCACATTACCACTACCCTCACCATGGTTATGCCTTTTTGTCTATTAAATTTCTTTTGAGAATTGCATTTCCTTTAGATTAATTTTTTTTTTCCCCAGCTCAGATTTGAGATTCCACTTAGGTCCAACATCGTGAATCCATTGCCCCTAAATTCAAAAGGAAGCCTGTCGTTCATTCTCTTCTCTTTGACGCAAGAGAAGGCATCAAACTGTTTGGAGACACAATGTTATCACTTTTGCAAGGAACACAATTTCTACCCCAGTACCTACGTGTTTTGCATCCTGCTGGTAAATTTCACAGCAGAGAAGCAAACCACTTCACATGCTACTACTACTGGAGCTCCCACATCAGGGATGTGAGAGCCAGGCCAGAAACACCATGTACAGACATAGATAAAAAAAGATAAATCATTAAAAGGCACAAAGTCAATGTGCCTCACTTGACAAGGGGGGGATGCGTTAAGTCCCTGTAGGCAGGTTTGGGGATGCAAGAGTAGTCTGACAGGAAAACTTGTTTTCCTTCAAGTTAAATTTACTCAGATCCAATATTCAGTCAATTCATTTTCTTCTTGTAAACACAAGTGCAAGAAGGCAGGAACTTCACAGCAATGACCAGTCACTAGTACAAGGTGAATAAGGAACAAAATCAGAAAACTATTCTGTATGCAAGTCTGCAAATACCATCAGATTCCACCAGTTAATTTAGGCAACAGAAGCGCTGGTACCATACAAATTCTTGAGTTCTTAATCTTACAGATGGCACTGGTCCTCCCTATGGAAGCAGGGTGGGTTGAAGGCTGCCACTACTGCTCTCTGCTTGCTGGAGAGCGCCCAGGCTGAGGCTGTGCCCCCACAGCGGTGGGGATGGATTTTTGTGATGCTGCTCTGGTGCCATGGAGGTCTGCCTGCTGCCCTTCTGGGCCTTCCCCTCACAACAGAACAGCACTGTTCTATCCTAAGGTGCTCTTCACTGACCAGAAAGAAAGCTGGGCAGGAATGAGAACACAGCTTCCACCTCTGGCAGTCACCCCACTGTGCAGTAGCCATAACATCCTTTGAAGGTGGGCTCATACACCTCTGTGAAGCTCACCTGTGCTTCATGCATATGTGGCCGTGTCAGACTCCAGCTCCCTCTGCACCATACTCAGACACTGTTTTTAGCACTCCTGTTAACCCTCCTGGCCTTGTTTTCCAAACAGCCTGCAGTAAGAACCTCAAAGCCACACAACTGTGGAAGGACAGGGATGTATCTTCTAGAACAGTTTTTTGTTGTTGTTGTTGTTGTTTTTTTGTGGGTATCATCTTTGACATAAGAACGAAGGGGATAATAACTTGTGTGAACATTAAAGATATACCAAGATGAATTGTAGCAGGTGGATCAAATCTCTGAGGAACGTTTTGACAGCAGCCTTCTAAGAAAATTCTAAAGTGCAATCAATATAATCAATACTATTCTCAAACACCTTCGCCCATTCATCCAATCTAGAAGCAGACTGCTAAAAAATCATATTATCTTTATTTATTAACCCCACTAAAAGCAACATTTACATTTTTAACTTAATACAGTGCTCACTGAAATGCTCTCCAAAGAAGGATGATGAATGATGCTGTGGAGGCCTCCCATCCCTATCACCTGCCTACCACCACCTGCTACAGGGAAAATAAATGGGAATTGGCAGCCTGGCTGTGTGGCAGATTGATGGAGTTGTTTGGGGGAAACCGGAGAGGTGACCGCTGCCAGGTCTGTGGCCTCCTGCACAGCAATGGGCACTGGGGAGCCTTCCATCTCTGAGCTGACACCTCTGGGGTGACTTTCTTGGCTAACTCATTTGTTAATCAGGTTGGATAATTTCCTTTTCTTCCATTTTCCTGCCTTCTGGCTCAGCTCAGTGTATGACTCAGTAAGGCTCGCTTAATCATCTTTGTGATAAATTCTGAGTATATTTTACTGCTGGGAAAGTTCTTGCTGATCAGCTAAACTATCTAGAGTGCAAAAAAAAAAAAAAATCTTTTGATTATAGGTATATTTTAGAATTAATTCCCGTGCTACAGCACTTTTCCAAGAAGCAGCCACAGGCAGCAGAGGATTGTTTTGTAAATATACAAAAGAGGTGCCCTTGTAGAAAGACATCCTTCACCCCTTACGTTGCAGATAGAGAGCAGAATTTAGCTATCATATACCAAGACTGTTGGCACATTTGAGTTATTCCTGAGGAAATGACATTGCCTTGTAGCTCACCTTTTAGAGCGCACGCTTTTCTGCCTGTGCAATTCATTATTCAGTAGCCTATCTCCTAAATAGTCCAAGGCTGATGTCCTTAGGAAATGAATTT